CGAAGGTTGTCGTTGTTCGCATTTGGAGATTTATATTATTTTCTCTTATTTATTATTATTTTTCTGAATTTTTTACACGAATAGATAGAAATATTTTCGCATATTAAAGAAGTTTTCGTCGAAAGATGCCGGTTCTCGGGTCGTCAGTTTAAGAAATTATGGCGGGAGGGGTGAATGCTAATTTAAACATGGCTGTTCACGTTATGTTTCTTAATTATTAACAGCTTAAGCACGCAGACCATGAGGTTTCCAACCCTATAATAATTTTAAAATTTATAAAGTTCTAGTTTTATTAAAATGCTCTGAAGAAAATTTGATTACTGTTGAAGGTTATTTGTATTGTGAAATATATTATGAAAAAGGATAGGTATTTGTTTCAACGTAAAATGCTTTAAGCTGTATGCAAGTAACTTGAAAAAAAAAAAAAAAAAAACTTAAAACTATGTAAAATGGATATATCATGTCATATCATAAAACATTTATCATATCATAAAACTATGTAAAATGGATATGGTCATGCATTCATTAATTTATTACATGGGCATGGCTCTTACCGAAATACATCAATCAACAGGCAAAGTACTTAATAGTGAAAAAAAGACATTTGTAATAGAAATATTAGTATTTTATTATGAATTAGAGAAAATACATATAAGTATATTGTAAACGTAAGTATAAGAAAACTAATTGTTATTTTTTAAATGAATTTTACTTCCCGTTATGTTTAATACATTGTTTTTTCTGTGCTAACTTGAATTTTAATAGAAATTTATTTTCGTATATCACGTTTAACCTGTTAGTTTTATATCTACATACTTATTATCTGTTAATTTTTACTACCATTGTCTGCTAACTTGAATTTACGTCACAAAAAACCAACCACGTTTACAAAATATCACGCTTACGGCTCGGCTCAGCTTGGCGAGTAAAACTGCAACGGCGCCAAAGGGTTCTCTGCGGATGAAAACCCAATTTTTCTTAGCAGATTTTTTTTAAACAAGGAGATTGAAATTAATAATTTAAATTCTACAAAAAATTGTTTTTTCATTTATGGTAATTGAATTTGAGTTCCTTCAAGATGGTATACGGAAAGTTTTTATTATAAATTATATATATTTCTTAGTGTGTTTAACTAAAACCGTCAAACTGACGTCAGATATCATTCGTAATTTCCCTGAAGTGAACAATTTTTAACTTAGTTAATTTGATTACTTCTGAAGTGAGGGCATGTATATGCTTTCATTTTATTGAAGTATAAATGCGAAGTATGCTTTAAGTTTTTATCTGTTATTTAAATTGAATTGCATTGAATGTTGTTTTCAAAATATAATACTAACGATACGTACTTTGGTACATTACCTATTCAAATTTTTAATTGAATCGATCTGTCATAGCTGAATACATTAAGGTAGTGGCTATTTTTCGGAAGTTTTAGTATTTTATACACTTTAAATATATATCACTCTGGTGCATCGTTCCTTTCATTAGTAAGTTATTTTGCTCTGATATCAAACAGAATGCAGCTCTATTTCAGATATTCGCCAATGGTGTTTAGACAGACGAAAGCAGCAAAAAAATAAAAAAAATAATATATAAAACGTGCTTGATAAAATAATGGCTCAGTGTATTTCATACGGTATGGATTTTAGAAAAAGGCTGTAATTTATTTGAGAAATAAAAGTTCATTTTCCGAGACAAACTTGCTTGGTTCGTGCGACCTACTTAGTCGGTGGGTTTACCTATTTTGACAACATAATCTAAAATAAAGTAAGTAGTTAAAGTTAAACTTTGTTTTCATACATTATGTGAATTGTAAATAATAATAATAATAATAATAATAATCAGAATGTAATTTTGTGTACATTTACTATTTCGCAATGCGTTTATCATGCATTGCCATCTTATCCTTTTTAGCCCAAAAAGGACGTTAGTCCCGAATAGGATATTAGTCTTGAAACGGTATTTTGATTTGAATCACTATAAACGGTGAATCACTTTTTAAATTGTTGCCCACAAATATTATAAAAGAAGAAAGAAATTAAATAATGAGGGATTTGCATGAATGTATGCGTTTTTCTTGCAGTGTGAAAAAAAAATTTTGAATGACGTAGTTCTCCGCCCGACGCATAGAAGCTCGAATTTTATATTTGTAAAACTAATTAATTTTTTATTTAGAAACTCAACGATTTCAAATCGAGCAATGACAGGATTACCCTCCCCCCCCCCAAAAAAAAAAACTTGCAACGTACGAGACTGTCTACCGGAAATTCTAAAGATATGCTGTTTTTAAATATTTTATGATTTTGCTGTTGAATCGAATTTCATGTGGCGTAAGCGCCAAGAACGTGATACTTAATAAGAAAAGCACACACACGAAACATTAAATAATAAAAAGATAAAAAGTTTTGTAAAGCCATCCTTTTAAGAAAACTAGCCATTGATACGAAATGTGCTGAGAAAACACCGGGTTCTTCCCCGGTGTTGGCGTACATTTCCATAGGAAAATGTATGCCAACACTTAACGCTACATCGAGAATTTTAAACGTAAACTACTGTGGCGCTTTTAAAAATTTTGTAATTTTGCTGTTGAATTGTATATGGCGTAAGTGCGAAAAATTTATGCATAATAATAAATTTGAAAAGCCAAAAAAGGGGGGTAGGGGAAGTGTGTAACAGCAGGACAGATTGCGAGCTCAGCCAGAGCGTAAAAATCCTAAACAAACCCTTTTGGGCGACCGTTAAAATCTGAAACCTGTCAGATTTTTTTTTTTAAATATATTTTTTATAATTTTTTTTTTTTTTTTTTTTTTTTTTTTTTTTGCTTTATTGGGATGGGCTGTATGGTCATTTGTGATTTACTAGTTTAAACTTTGCGTTATTTGATGATAACAAAGGTAGCGCTGACTAATCTCCCTAAAGACATGTAGAACTTGTATATATGTAATATATGTTCCATATTGCTGCTACCGTTGTAATTTAAAATTGAGAGGGTCCATTTGGGAGGTTTATTGTTGTGTGATGTTGATTTTTATTTCAACACTCACATATCTGCAATTTCCTTATAATTTATTCCGATATGTTACTTTTTATTCTCATGCTTACATATCATTACTCGTATTATTTTTGTTTTACACCTTTTTATGAATTTTCAACTGACTCTTGAGTGAAGGAAACTTGCCTTATTAAATATTTCCTGTATGCTTATAAAAAAACTTAAATCTTGCTCTTGTGTGTGTTTATGTACACACACACACACACACACACACACACACACACATATATATATATATATATATATATATTACGTAAACTTTTAAAATATTCGTTTCCTAGTTAAAGGAAAACTGTAATGATTTCTTTAGCTTAAAAGTCGTAGATGTTTCACTTCGAATTTTGGAAGAGCGAATAATGGGTCAATTTTCCTTATCTGTGATGTGGAACGCTTGCGACACAATGTTCCAAGGTTACAAGTTTTTCCTATTGTTTTCATTTCGATTGAAAAGACTGCGCAGGCAGGTGTGTATGTCTTCGTGGAGCTCCTAGGCATTTTCCAGACTCTATTTAGAAGCTATTCACCTAATTTGATTGCAACTCGCTTCATTGGGATGGAATTCTTTCTTCTCATCCTGCTTTCCTTTCATTTTCCCACTTTTTTTTTTTGTCTCTGTTGTGAGACCTCTAAAGTGATATGCTCAGCAAATTCGCCCCTATAATTGGATTACACTCTAGGACTACTCTTTCTGTGGTGGCTCGTTTGGCCGTGTTCCCGCGAAACTTTGGATGGCCGGATTCCGCATAGGTGGGTCTTCTTATTTCTGCCTCTGCCTTTTTTTTTTTTTTTTTTTTTTTATTTTACCGGTATGATAGTTTTAGCTTATGTCTGTAATTGTCTGAGCTCATCAGAGTATTGCGTCATGTATAAAAATTAAAGAAATAGTGGTTCACGTGTGCCGTCGCTTCGAACTACCATTAAGTGAAGTTTACTTGTGCGTAATTTCCGGATATTTTAATTTTTAAGCTACCTGGGTAACTTCATCTATGGAAATACTGCTAACTTTCAGATCTTTTTTATTTTGTTTGAATTATTTGTTCTAACTTGATAACGTTGCAGTATCTTTTTTTTTTTTTTTTTTTTTTTTTTTTTTTTTTTTTTTATGTGGCAAACCGCATATTTTCCTTTCAAGAGTTATTTAAAAAGTAATTCAAATTTAAGAATAATTTAGCTTATGAACGGGAATTGCTTCTTTGTCTCTAGAAAAGCTCTGCAATTTTTATTTGAAATTAATCTCAAACATTGATTAAATTTTATCATTTATGCAAAAATTCCACCAACTAATTATGAGTACGCATATGTTATCGCGATTGTATTTAAAATGCTGTAGGAATATTTTTCATTCTTATGCTTAATCATTTTAGTTTGATTCTTGATTTTAGAATTTTAATGATAACAAGCATTCATAAAAATCTTATCTGGACTCTTTTTAAAGTATGTTTTTATTTTTATTTGTGTAGTATATATATATATGCATAAAATAGTTATTATTGTAGTATATGCAAAGTAGTATTAATAGTCAAAAGGAAACTGTCCTTTATGCATTGATTTTGAGTTCATGGATTAATTCCGAATTTATTAAGCAACAAAAATGATTAGATTGAAATTGCATTTGCAGCATTGCTGAGCATTCCAAAAGGAAGGTTAACCAAACTCAAAGTTGACCAGATATACTGTTTTAATGAGTACAGTCCTAATTAAAGAGTGTGTTTTCATTTCAAATACCTGCTGAAATTTCAAGCTGCACTCATTTATAAGAAAAATTGTCATATTCTGCATAATCTGAAATATTTGATTCTCTTTTCTTATTTGTAACATGTCTTAAAATATTATATATATATATGTGTGTGTGTGTGTGTGTGTATTAGAGTGTATTAGAAATTATAAAGGTTTATAGAGGGTGTTTACACATTTTTAAGAATTTTGATAAAAATTTTTGAAAAGCATATGTTTTGGAATGAAAATTTTCTGGCAACAACTTATTATTTGAAATGAGAAATAGTGTCTGCTACTTTTAAATCAATCCTTCTTTCAAAATGCCACATGTAAACAAGCTGTGGATTATGAACTATATGTTTTTGCACTTTGCAAAGAGAAATAGTCCTATTTCATAACTCAAAAACATTGTAAAATGTATAGTTTTAATATTTCTAAGTGCAAAACAAGCAGCATTATTAATAAGAGAGGGAAAAATCATCAAACATTACTTCTACATGGAAAGAAATCTCCAAACAAATACATGGAAAAAGGTACATATGCATGGTTTCTACTGTTAAATAGATGGTAATGAGAAAATCTGCTGATGCAGAAATGAGTTGCAAAGGCTTAAATCATCTGTAGAAATAATAAATAAAATAATAAACCAAGATTTTACACCTTTAAAAAAAAAAAAAAAAAAAAGCATATTATTCACCAGCTTTTGCTGAAGCATGTGAGCTCAACATAGAACAATTTTTAGGACCCTATATGAAAACGATTTAGTAGAAGATAAATAGAAACACATTGTGGTGAGCCTTGATGAAGTAAATAACTGCAGCTAGAAAAAGGTCTATTTATTATCAAAAATGACTAGAAAGAAAATATACAAACATGGTTTCATCAGTACATAGAAAGTTTCTGCAAAGGGTTACAGAATCCTCTTACATTGGCAAATTCAAAATAAGAAGAGTGGGGAAAATGTTAAAATCAACTCAGCATACTATCAGGAAAGTGCTTTATGTCTGATGTTTACTGAAAAAATTCCATTTCTTTATCCCAGTGACTTTCAATGAGTGAAAACTTCATCAAGACAGGGCAATGAGTTATACTTTGAAAAGTATCACTGCATTTCTTGAAAAAAATGAAGACTGACACTGGTTTTATGTATATACATTATCAAAGTAATCTTGCAAAATCTCCTGACATTGCACCTATTGACTCTTGGGCCTTTGGTCTCTTGAGCTCTGTCTAAGTACAAACCCAGCATGATTGATAGACTCTGGAAAGTAGTGGCAAAGGAATGGCAATCTGTACTCTGGTAATTTTACAAAGAGCCCTCCTATTATGGAAATCATGATGCAGACTTGTAGACTTGGAAAACAAATCCTGTCAGATTGAATATTTAAAAAAATACTCTATACGTTTTAAATATTAATTAATGATCCTGAAATCATTCTAAAAATGTGTAAATACCCTCTATGCAATCAAGTGGAAGCCAATTTTAAAGAAGTTCACAAAACCATGGAACTTTTGAGAAACTAATGGTATATTATTCAACAGACTCATTTGATACATAATTAAATTTGGTACTGTCCTGTTATTGAGACTGGGTTCTGAAATGTAGGAATGGATGTATATATATGTACGCATGTATATATATATATATATATACATGCGTACATATATATATATATATACATACACACATACGTTTCTGAATCTGGTCCCAATAACAGAATTGTATCTTGAATTCTATGTTTAAACAAAAAATAATCTGTTCATTGTTTAGTTTTCAGCCCATAGAATTTTTTATAGCACTTTATTTGAAAAATTCCAAGTTGAATAATAGCATCTTTCTTATGTATGAAAATATGCTTTCCTCTTTTATATCTATATAGATCCTGCTGTCATGAACACCTTCATATTTGCTCATTCTAAAACTAAAGAATAACTGACCTGTTATAATTCTGTGTTTTTTTAAGGGATTTTCAAAATAAATTCGTAAAAGTTCAAAATTGCATACTTATTTTTATTTAGTTAAATATTTTGAGAATTATTATAAAAAATTATCTTTCTTTTTTTTTTTTTTTTTTTTTTTTTTTTTTTTCTCCCTGAGAGCGGGGTCTTTTTAAATGAAAATAATTTTATAAGTATTAAAGCATATATACTGATTTTAAATGTATAAATTCTACTTGTTCCATTTACTCCACCATTTGATAACTGATAATAACTTGTTATCTGGTACTTAAAATACTTTTGAAACTTTGAGTCTTTTATAAATTTTACGCAACCTTGTAAACTCCAGATGTCTGCTGTGAACACATAAATAACTAATATTTCTTTTTCATTAAACACATGTGACATTTGACAAAAAAAAGGCACTATCTTAAATATATAAGAAGTGTTGCTGCATAATATTGCCAAATCAATAGTGAATCTTTTTCAGTTAAAGGCCCACTAGTGGCCGAGCGGTAAAGTCGCTGAACACTAGTAGTTTGGTTCGAGGTTTGAATCCCGCAAACGGGCTGGCTGCATGGGCGTTTTCGTGGTTTTCCCCATGTGTAATGTGTATACGAGGCAGTTTCTCTTGGAAAGTCCTCCACGAAGGTATCCCTCCCCTTAGGCAGATAGCCCTAGTGTGCTTTGCCATAATTAAATAAACCGAACCAAACCAAACTTTTTCAGTTAAATAATTGAAATATATTAAAAAACATGTAACATTTATAGTGTTTTGAGTATAGTAGTATAGTTCTTTGAATAAACCTGTTTAATATAACTTGTGTTATAAATATGATGAAGATTTTTGTGGATAAATAATCATGTGTAAAAATATTACACTTGAGCTATTATATACCTACATACTTTTTTTTTTTTTTTTTTAAGTGTAATATAGGGAGCAAAGTATATTTTATTTTCCAATAAGCAATGTACATATGCTGTTTTTTTTTTTTTTTTTTTTTTTTTTTTTTTTTTTCATTATCATTTACTAAATATAAATTTTCTTATGAAATGCAAGTTCCTAATTTTATTTGTTTGGGAGAATTAATATATTTTGTGAGTTGATCTTTTATAGTCAGTCTGCCAGTATTTGGTGTAATAGTCTTGTATTATGTTGTTCTTAAAAAGTTGTTTTGTGTTTGACAAAGGTTAATTAAAATAATTTTTAAGTTCTAAAAAAGAAAGATATTTATTAAATGCTCAGTTAATTAATTATAAGCTACATATGAGTAAGCCTTAGATATGTAGCATAGATCTGGAATAGAAATAAATATTTCATGTGCCAAATTGGGCATAAGTAATTTTCATTAACTATTATCAGCCACAGAAACTACTCTTGTGTTTTTAGAATTATTTTGAAATTAAAAAAAAAAAAAAAAAAAAAAAAAAAAACCCTATATCAGGTTTAATGTAAGTGTTTAGTTTTTTTTATTCATATTCTAATATTAGTTTTTATACATATTCTAATATTTTCTTTTTATTATAGGAAGATGGCATCAGGTGTTGAAGCTCCTTTAAAAAGTATATACCACATACCTCATCAGCAAGGACCTCTCACACCAAATGGAGTTGCACCTGCTGTTACTCTTACTGTCCGTCTTATCATGCAAGGGAAGGTAAGACGTTATAAATTATACTGTATGAGATCTGATAAATTGATATTTTTCTCCCTTGCATGCTTGTACTCATTTAAAATTTTGTGATGTAGCATCAAAATTTTTATTCATTCTTCTTTTGTTTATGGCATTAATGATAAATGTGGATTTATGATAAATACCGGATCTATATGCTGTTTATGAAATGTAAAGCACTGATGGTGAACATTTTAGATTCAGCTATGAACATTTTTGGAAATGCATGATACTGTGTGTCGTCTCTCAAATAAAAGGGAACTATTTCTTTCTTGAAAAGATAATTGTGTAATAAAGTATGGTGTTTTATATTTTAAAGTGCTCATAAAAGTTGGTTACATGTTTTATTTAGTCCGAGACAGTACAGTATTAGTCCCAGACATGTACTACTTCCAGTTTTTCTACAAAATTTCTCAAAATTAGTTGTAGAATTTTATAGAAATATTTTCAATTCTGGCACTATTAAAAAAAAATCACACTTTTTGTTTAATCCCTGTAGAACAAAGATTCAGTTTATTTTGTTTGCTTCACTAAATATAGCGAAACACATCTATCTGCCTAATAAAAGAAATTGTAATCTCTTTCTACAGAGCATTCTATGAGCAGTTTTTGTATTCATGTTACATATCGGGAGGGGGCAAGACTTCTGAACACATACATGCAGATAGCCCTGATGAGATTTGAAGCAATTTCAGACTAATAAGGGTCATTGATCTCATCTCCTTGCTGTCAGTAATCCTTGTTGGTAAAATGAAATTTAAATACATAACTGTGCATACCTTTATATGGACAATTTATCTAAGGATACGTGAGAATAAATTTAATGTTATGGCTCATTTTTCAATGCCTGTTATCAATAGATTCACAATTTTTCTGCCAGATTTAGACAGTAATTATATAGTTTTGGCTATTTGAATTAGAGAGTCCACCAGTCAAGGAATAAGCAAACACTTTGTAAGGTATATTTTAATTTTATAACAGTTAATTTCGAATCCCTTTCCAGTTAGTTCATATTATATCAGTTACTAATAAGAGGAGTAGTTTCATTTTCTTCACCCCATAAATTTGTGAATTATTTTCAGCCAGAAAGTATAAATGCGCCTTCATCACAAAATTTCTTGAAACAGTTCTCTGACTACTTTTAAAATTCTTGAGCCAGTTGTTTCTGGCTTTCAGAAATTTTTTTTTCAGATGATTGGTGTGATTACGGCAAAGCGCTCAAGGGCTATCTGCCTAAGGGAAGAGATGCTTTGTGGAGTACTTTCTAAGGGAAACTGGCTGGTGTGCATATTACACATGGAGAAATTATGAAAACGAGTATCGCGTATGCAGCCAGCCTGTTTGCGGTGTTCAAACTTGGACCAAACTACCAGTGTTAAGCGACTTTGCTTCTCAGCTGCTGGTTAGTGGCCTTTTTTTTCGGGGGGGGGGGATGACTAGCTTTCCCATATAAAATAATTTTGCTAATATGAATGACATGCTTTGTCAAGACATTTTGTCTTGCAGATTTGTCTCCATTTGAAAAAGAAAACATTAATTTCATTTATTGTTGTCTTCAAAGCTTCTTTCTACTGAGACTTATAATAATGTTTTTAAATAACTGAAAAAGTATATGACATTTGTTCACACCATTATTCTTTTGTAGTGAGAGGTTTTTCTTTCCAGAATTTTAAGAGATTTTTGTTTTTCTTAATCTTCTGTCAAAAGAATATTCAGCATTTTTCATAACCACCATTTGTGACTTTTTGTGACACCACTTCTGACAAATTATTTCTTGTGTTGGTTAAAATTGCAGCAGAGTGAGGGAAATATAGAATCAGTCTGGCCGATAAGGACAGTTGCGCAAGCGTCCTCGTGTCACCGAATGAAATGGCAGGCATGCTGTATGCATGGCAATAACAAATCATACAACATTAACTAAAATCCTAGCGCAACAATCTGTTTTAACACATACTATTCAAGACTGTGTGCAAAGGAAGGGGAACTGCAATTATTCATTCTGCTTTACATTTGTGTATGGCTGCAATAGTGTCCTGAATGTCAGACATGGACATACAGTTTGCACAACATTGTCATTTTAGGTTAATCTCAATTCTGCCTTCTACACCATGATGGTCATATCCAAGTCTGTTAACAGCACAGTAACAAATGTCTTGATTACCACATTGATTCATCAAGTGAAGTTATGGCTTGGAATGCCACTAGATTGTATTCTTGCATCTTCTTAATGCACTTGTTGTAGCACTTTACAGCCATTGCTAAATCTTTGAAGTTTTTGTATATATTGTGCTTCCTAATTTCAAGGTTTGTCTGTGGTTAAGCTACAGCAGGGCAATTCACAGCTGCATATGATACACAGTATTCAACAGTTCTCTATTGCTCATCAAGTTACACTGTTACCATAACTCACCCATTCTCTCAATGTGTCTATTGAACATATCTAGTCAATGAATGGTGTCCTAGCATACACAACCCATGGTTGTCCAAATGAAGCAGCACCAGAATGGCATATCCTAAATACTCATTGGAAGCCTCTTTCTTTCAGTGTTTATCTCGTTGCAGCACTACAAGCTATGGGGGCTATAAAGAATATTGATTTCTTTGTGTCCACAAATCAGATGGTATTGTAATTTTAATTAGTTCACTTTTGGTATATTATATTATTTGTCCAGGAAATAGGTTGTGGTATTTTATTCTTTGTTGTCTTGCATTTTGGAGTGCAAACAGTGTGCATGAAATTAAGATTGAAAATGCAAGGATTTTAATGTTGAGATTAGATTGTTTAAAGATTTCTAAGGTAATGTGGAGAAAGATAAGTTGTACTATATGGTTATTTTTTTAGTATCACCTATTTATATAAACTAATTAATACGGGGTAAACTATTATTGTTGTTATTCTTTTTAACACTTTTTACAGGACAAGTTCAGACTTATTTTTAGTTCTTAATTTTTATGTATAGCTTAGAAATAATTATACAGTCTTTTTTAATAAAAACTAGAACTTCCTGGCTATAAAGTGAGCATTTGAATACTGAGCGATAATAAAATTGATTTGTTGTTATTTTCCATTGCATAAAACCTATATTATATTAGAAGGTATATAAAGCTTAAATTTAGTTTTTTGAAGTTTGTATGCTATCATCCTGAAAAAATTCAGATCATTATATGAGAAATACATTCTTATGGTGTGTAATGATAGTAGTGGAATAGGGAGAAATCTTTCATCTTCTGTTCTCAAATTCTGTTCAATGGGAATTGTGAGTAAAATCTGTATGAAGAAATTAGTATAATGAAGTATTTTTTTGCTGTTTAAAATTACGTTAGTGAGGGGGGGGAGTATGTAAGGTATGCCTAGTATACTTTTTATAATTGCTTGTAGTATGAAAGGGTGATAGCAGTCTTTAATGCTGTCCAGGCAAACTCTAGATTAGCTTTACAACTTTACATTTAATTATAGATTTGAATACATTTGATTTTTTTTTTTTTTTTTTTTTTGTTTAACTTTGATACCCTTTATTCTATGAGTGACCTGTTAGAAGTTTATCTATCTATATAAATTGCTTATTTATATATTTTTTTCTTACATATTTAGGAAGTGGGGAGCATTATTGGAAAGGTAATTAATTCAATTTGTTCTTTTATGTAGAAGAAACTCTGTAATAGTCATTTTTATTTTTATGAAGAACTTTTTTGTAATTTATTAATGTCTTTTATAGAAAGGAGACAATATAAAGAAATTTAGAGAAGAGGTAAGATTTCCTTAATTTCTTTACTTAGTTGTAGAATTAAAGTTAATGAATGACTATCCATCATTACCAGATTCCTTTATGTAAGCACTGGTAAAAATCTCAAAGCCTTATGTTTGCTTAATCCGTAAATGCCTTGGCATGAAGCCAGACAGTCCACTTTTAAGCACTGCATCTCAAACAAAGGAAAGAAAAAAGCATTTCCTAGAACTTACCCTACTAATATCTTTCGAACTGCTTATTACTATTTTTAGGATTCTTTCTTTGCTCTCCTTATTTCTTGCTAATTAATGAATCATTCTTCTGATTTTATTCATATTTTAGGCTATTTTTCACATTTGAATTTCAAAATTATTTCTTCAAACATAATTAAAGCATTCATCTTAAATAATTTTAAAATTATAAAGTAGCAATTTTGGACCACCTCTATTCTAAAGTGCTTGTTAATTTTTAGTTACAAAAATACTGTCATGCAGTAACAGATGAAACTTAGTTTGCATAGATGTGCATTCTAGGTAAAAGAGTTGTATCATTAAGGTGTCATGTAATTTTAAAATTTTCAGCTGTTTATTGGTATTTATTTGAGACTTTCCGGTTATGAAGCATAAAGTACGTAGTTAGGCAACATGATTTTAGATAGATCATTATGTATCATCTGAACATACAATATAAATTTTGTTTTTATTCATTTAACTTTTAACTATAAAGCACATTTTCTCAGAATTTTACTATTATTTTTTCTATATTTGTTTTCTGATATGATAGTAAAATAAACATTTATTTTCCTGTGAAGTTTTTTAATTTCACTCATATTTTGTATTTGAATATTCTAATCAATCTTCTATAACAGGGGTTGGCAACCTTGTAGCTGTGGTGCACTAAACCAATTTACCACTATGATTCAGGATGCCATACAGTAGGAAATATTTGAAACAATTCGATTCCTGTGGCAATACATGCAAAGTTAGGCAATAGAGTCTCAAGAATACAGATTTAGAGTTTTATTATATATTAATTATGTATTATTTAAATATATTTGTTAACATAAAATTTTATTAACACAAATAAAAAATCTAAATTGTACATATATTATGTACCAAGTATCTTTTAAACATATTTATTAAAATAAAATAAATAATTTAAAATAACAACATACTAATAACTTAACATAGAGCACAACATCATTCACTTTGGTACTTTCATCAAAAGTAACACTAAATGCAAATTTCTTGTAATCCAGAATTCTGTTTTGTTGCAAGATTTTCTGCCATTCGAGTTATTTGTCTTTCAGTAATTTGTACAGAAGCAGGTATTTTGTGAACGTAGGATAATATTGTTTGTAGATTTGGTAAATCGCTGGACAATATTTAAATATTTTCTTTAAAATGTGTTCTTGTTGTCATAACTTATCGCACTTGTCTGACAGTTACATCAGAACAAGCCCACGAAATTGATTGTGGCCAGGAGTGCAAGATTGCACCTGTCGTTGGCAGGAGCTTTGAGCACCATACAACTGACAGTATTCCTTTTCTCAGTTTTGCCCCCAATTTTGATGGAGAGCAACCTGAGGGAGAAGTTCGAGGGTCTCCCAGCCCTCTTCTCGTACTACCAACCCCTCAGTAGAATTTTTGGTTTGCCGCACCGTCATGCTACACGGATACTCTACATTTATAAACATCCATATCTGCTTCTGGATTTGAACTCGGGCCTTCCATACGGCAGTCAGCATCACTGACCACTATACCAGTTAGGTGGCAAGCTGAGGTTGTACCCTCTAAGTTTAAAAATGTGTCCTTTACGTCTCTAGGTTTAAAAATGTGTCCTTTATATATTTGCCATCTGTGAAAGATTTGTCTTTTGGCAACTACACAATGAGCAATTATGAAACTACTTTCCATCACTTTAGGTTTGGCTCCATTTGTTTGACAAAACATGTAACTTGTTCCTTATATCCAGTAATAGCTCTTTTTACAACTTCAAATTTTTCATCGTAATTCTGAAATGTAAACTGATTAAAATGCAGTTTGAAAATATCTTTGTATACTTAACATGCAACATCTGACGCTTTCGTGACATAATACACGTACAGGACAATCCTTTTGCTGTACAAATCCACATTCATTTGTTCAAGAGCCATAAAAACTGTGAACATCAAGCTTTACGTTTTTAGTAACGTTTTACGGCACAAAACTAAGAATGTGCCGTAAAGTTAAATGGAACCTATAGCGCACAACATGCATCAAACTAAATTCTACTTTTGACTAAAATCATATTCTCTATGCATGTATCGGCACAACAAACCAGACAAAAGGAGAGCAAATGTGTGAAGCATGAGGTAGGTCGTTGCAGGGAGAAGAGACAAGACGATACGTCTTTATCTGATAACTTTGTAGAGCGCCACTGTGAATTATAGCACATGCCAGATCTGGCACATGTGCCATAGGTTGCCGACGCCTGTTCTATAATTTAAAATATAGTGTGGTTCTTTTTATTGTTTTTTTTTTTTTTTTTTTTTTTTTTTTTGTGATATAATTTTAAAACTTTGTCATTTATAATCTGTCAAATGTATATGTTTTTAATAATTTGTGAAATTAAGTTATTGTTGATAAGCTGGATGGTTGGAATTGAGATTTTGTATGCTGATCGGGGTAAAATATAGGTTTTACCTTTTTAATTTGCTACTATGTGATCTGGTATGTTTTGAATGAGCTATTAATTCTTTGTAAATCTGCCACTAGGACAGTGCTGTTGGTAGTATTCAGGATTCAAAATCTATTCTTTCTGCTCTCAGGTCTTCTGATTTTATAGTCTTAGATATTTATATTTAGTTGTACTGTAAAACTTGTTAGCAAAGAGACCGAGAATAACAAAAGATAGCCCCTATACTATAAAACTGTAGCATAAATCATTAGCTATGCTTGCAAAGGTGAAATTATTGAAAATTTATGTGAATGTCTAAATGGCATCGCATGAAGTTCTAGAGGATTGAGTGATCAACGATATGCCATTATAAAAACAAAAAGAAATTGTTGTATTTTTTAGCTGTAAAGAAAAGTTCAAAGTTGTAAGCAATACCTTGTCGAGAACACTGCATGGTCCCTCCCACTTTAAATTTATCTCGCAAGGTTATGGGTTTGAAAATGTAGTTACAGAGCGTAAAAGGATATCCCATAGTAATGATCTCCCATAGGTTGATTTCTGTTGTCTACCATTTTTTTATGGTTTGACAATGTTTAGATCCCAAGGTTGTCACATTCATGACATACAACCTGTATTGTTCATTCATGTTACATGTAATTTGTGTCTGCTTTATGTTTCTTAAACACCTAGAAGGTTTTATTATCAACATTATGTAAGTTTCCCATTCTAACAAGATAAAAATTATTGTCCTTTCATTTGTGAGGAAATTTCAAGCCTTTTGCACAAGCTCTTCAGTGGATAAAATGCACAGCTGCATTTTGAATATTTAAGGCTTACCTTCATTAAATAAATACAAAAATCTCTACATGATGTTAAATTGCAATGGAAAAAATCATATAATTTTTTCTTCCTACTGTATAGAATTTCTGTTTCAGACAACTCATTTTAAATATCTGATTTTATGTTTTGTATATTGAATTTCCAGATATTAGTTCTTAACTAATAGATCTGTCATAACAGCTTTGTTTAAAATTGTTTCAAGTGTTGTACCTGAATAAGCAGCTTAAACTGCCATTTTCTTATATCTTTTTAATTTTTAGTAGTAAAATTTTCTTTGAGCTATTAAGGTGTAATCTGAAGTTTTCAAATTACAGTTTTCTTTTCCTCTTCTTCCTCAGCTCACTTTTCTTTATTGTGCATTAAATAAATCTTAAAAATCTAGTAATCATGAAGATTCGATGCTAGAAATTATGTTACATAGAGAGTTCAGACGAACAGTTACTTCATCAAAATTCATACCACAGAGAAACTTGAATTCATGAAACCAACCATGTTTAGTAATTATTTAATTATTCTAAGAAGATACTTTTTAAGTAATCTTTGAAAGCTATGTAATGTGTTATCTCTACATATAATAAAAGAAAGAGTCTGTGTGTCTTTCATTTGTGTTGCACGTAAGCTAATAGACCCAGGGCTACAAAATTTGGTATATATGTGCATCTAGACAAGAACTTGTGCACCTCAAAGCAATTTTTTTCAAAATTCAAATCAGTGTTGTTTTTTTTTTTAATCTTTATCTTTTCGATTTTTAACGCATAGTTTCTTTCTTTTAAAAATGTGTTTTTTGCAATAGTTTTTCATTCATTTGTATACTTCACTGCTGACTGTTGAAAATCAGCACTGTTGCCACTTGGAAAAATGAGGAGGATAATTCTGTGCAGTTTTTAAATTTCTCTTAGATACTGGACTTTGTTGAGAGAAGGCAACAGGAAGTTGGTTAACTTATTTATTAGGATAATTAATATTTGTATTAATGATATTGCTTATTTCATTCTAATTTTGTTATATGTAATACTTTTTTTTATGAATTTGTTCTTCAGAGTAAAATTCTGCGCATTTTTAAAATTTAACATTTAGTATTCCATTCAGGCATTTTCCCGGTACATTTAAAAGCCAGATGAAGGCTGGCAGCATAGCATAGCTGCTAGTTTAATATAATTTAATGCATGTCATTTTTCAAAATTTTGCCTAAGGATATGTTTATCTGTGAGTAAAAATTAATTTATTAGCTATTATTTTTAACTTCAGTCCATTATAATTTTATAAAATGGGATTTAATAATCTATGAATTGTATAAAATTATTTCTTTTATTCATTCTTATGTCTGAACAGAATGACTTCTGAATTCATCTAAAACTGCACAGTAAATTTCAAATACATTTCGTAGATCTAGAAATAGTTTTCTGTTCATAAACAGTATTTAATATGCTTGTTTGATTTATGAAGTGTCTCAAAATAGATATTTAGAGTATAAAATAAAATATTTTGTTTATCCTTTCTGATTGTCTGCATTTCAGTTGTCATGAGAATGTATTACTGAGGTAATGCACCATGTTGCCTAAAAGCATGTATGTGGCAAACCATGATGTTACCAAAGAGTATTTATGTGGCAGCCCAGATATGCACATAGCACATGTGGATTTGTGAATTTGAAATTCTCTAGTCATTTTTCTGATCAATATTTCATTTTCATTGTGTATTTATATATATAAATGTGATGGGACCATGGAATTTGCCAGCCGAAGAGAAAAGTGTGGCCTTAGAACTGTGGTATTTTGCCCAACAATAGAAATGCAACTTTGTGTGAAGTTTACTTCTTAAATACCTGAATTTTTGGGAAATCTAATGCAAAAATTTGAAAGCGAAGTGTTAGGAGGGAAATTGAAAACTGGTTTGAAGACAGCCATATCTCATTTACAATAGCTGTTTGCTTTATATATTATTTATTGGATAAGGGAAATATGTTGGTGAAATTCTGTGAAAAACTGGGATTATCCCCCAAAACAACTATTGATTAGTGTAGTTATGTCCAAGAAGTATGGGAAAAGAACATAAAAAAGTAGGCAGCACTGGATGCATCTTTGAAATAGATGTAAGCATATTCAAGTAAATATTTCTTTACAGAGTTTGTTACTTCAGTAGGGTACTTACTGATAATCAGAGTGTACCATTATATCATATCTTATTTTAAATTTGATGTTGTGTGTGATGATATTTTTCTCAGTTTTCTGAAAATAAGTTGTCTTGGTATTTCTTTTTTCAAAGTTATTAATTTATTTGTTTTTAGATATTAATAATTCATGGAAATCATAAATATATGGCCAAAAATATAAAAGCAATCTTGTTTGTCTTTTAAAGATATAAATTGAAATGCATATGTGTGCTACTCTACTTTCTTCTTGTTTTTGTGATAAAATCCTTTTTTATGGGCCTAATAAATTTGATTGTGCTGTTATATATAACTGAACTATTTTTAAATTTTATTTAATTAAAGAAAATTGAAATCTGCAAGGTTTAAGATTTTGTGAAACAAAATGTTTATACTTTTTCTGGTTAATACAAAACGTATTAAAAATAAGTTGCCACCGAAGTAAGTTTAATCATTTTTCCTTTCACTAGAGTGGTGCAAAAATCAACATATCAGATGGCTCATCTCCTGAACGGATAGTCACTGTTACTGGTTGTACAGAATCTATCTTGAAAGCTTTCTCTTTAGTTGCTCAAAAATTTGAAGATGTAAGTACTAAATGTAATGCCATCTTATTATTTAAAGGGATCAAGTCAAAATCTGAAAATATATATAGCAGAGGATTCTTGGGCATATTTGCAGTCATCGGCTTCAAGCTTGATAATTGTTCCTTTACCTTTTAAGACATAATCTGCTGTAAAATTCTAGTATCAACCAATAATGACTGCTTAATCTGTAAATGCTTGTATATATATATGTGTGTAATTAAATTATTTACTGTTTTAAATTAAAACCAAAAAAAAAAAAAAAAATAGAGAGAAAGTTGGAAAAATTCAAATTTAAAAATTAGGGGAATTGCATTAACTTGGATTCAGTTAGTAACTCGGGAAAAATAAAATGACTCAAATAAATTCAAAAAGGAAAAAGTAGTGTTATCATTTGCTAGACTCAAAACCTTTTTCAAGAGAAGGAAGAGTCCTTCAACAATATACTCGTTTTCTTGCATAGTTTGGTTTCTGGCGTAGCTATAGTTATGCTTTGTCCATCTCAAATTAGTTGAGGCAATGAAGTTAATTATTTTAAATTATTTGTACATCTGTAAATTAGAATTCCCTTCCCTATATAACAATTTTGCCAAAACACTTCTAAATCCAAAGTAAAACAATTCCAGTTGCTAAAAAAGAATAAATACAATTTCATATATTATGGAAAAAAAAAAAAATCAAAAAATGGCTAAACTGCCTTCAGAAATAGTATGACATAAAAATTGTAAACAAGTACAAAAGAGTGCTGTAACACAAAACAGTATACAGTGAGTACAGTAGATATTAAATAATTTTCAAGGTATGACTATGATTTGGTTAGTTACTTATGTGCAAACAATTCACATTTCATGTAAATATTAGAATGCGAGAAATGTAAACAAAATTCTTATGATCTGCAAACTTTTCTGATTCTTACAATTCTAAATCCCACAGTGTATACAGGTTATGAAAATTCATCTATACAAACTTTACAATTTACAAGTTTCATATAATTTACTAATTTGTCCTTTATTCATTCTGTATTTATGAAAGTGGCTAGATTTTTAACACATTAATTGCTGCTTATATCAAATGCAACATATATTTTGTCTACATTGGCATTATATATGCAAATGAGTGCAAAATAATTATGGTCTAAAAAACAGTACAGATGCAAGTGGGCAGTGGGCAAAATTTCGCCATTGTGCATACGGGTATCTCATTTTATTAACCCCATGTTTTCCATTGTATTAACTGTGCATATCCTTTCTAATTTTAATGATGAACACTCCTGGGGATGGTTCGAGGGTTTCCCATCTCTCCGTCTCCTACCATCAAACCACTCGAGAGGAATTTCAGCTCACCAGTATTTTAAGTGCATGCCACAGAGACACTCTATGCTTACGAACTTCCATGCCTTCTGCACTATTTGAACCAAGCCCATTGGCTCTAAAAAACAGATATAAATGTAATATTTATTATAAATATGTTACACAGCATTAGAAAACATTTATAATAAGTTAATTAAAATAAATAATAGCAGCCCCAAAATAACTTTTTTTATGTGGTGCTGTTCAGAGTGTTAATACATGTGATATTTGTAATGCCTCTTAAAGAAAGTTAAATAACGCAACTCTTTTGTTGAGGAATTCATATAATTTAAAATATGGATTTTAAAAAATTTGGAATATTTCCCATCTTTCTCCCCCCCTCCTTTTTTTAACTTGTAAATTTAGTCAGCCACTAATTAGATTTACAACTTTAATTAACCCACTAAATAATTTTGTGTGTGTACTAAAATCCTCTTTTTTTTATCAGCTAATTAAAATTATGGTTTTTCTTTATAATTGTTCCTTAACTTGTATTTATTTCTTTCAGGATCTCCAAGCTAGTGTCACTGGAACTAACGTCCCCAAACCTCCTGTGACCCTTCGTTTAATTGTTCCTGCTAGTCAGTGTGGGTCCCTCATTGGTAAAGGGGGGTCGAAAATCAAGGATATTCGTGAGGTAAGATCAGTATCTGCATGTGTAAAAAAAAAAAAAATTAATTAAATTAAAAAATCATAAATTTATTATAATAAAAATTTACTGTATGTTCTTTCTGATGATTCAGTACAATTTAAGAATATAGACGTGTAGCTATAACGAAATGTCTTTAATATAATTTTAATTATTTATCTTAGGCGACAGGAGCATCTATACAAGTTGCCAGTGATATGCTTCCCAATTCTACTGAGCGAGCAGTGACCATTTCTGGTACTGCTGAAGCTTTAACGAAATGCATCTATCAGATTTGCTGTGTGATGATGGAGGTACTAAAGCCATAGATTTTTTTCCCTAGGCTTTTCCTAAAAACTGAAAAAATCTATATTTTGTAAACATTTATGTAATGTTTTAAAAATAAATGTGTTAAAAGTACAAGTCACATTCTCAAAATATCGTAATTCAGTATACTAATAATTTGCCCATTGTTTCTCAGTGATTCATTTTTTTAAGTGTGTTGACTTAGAATAGGCATAAAATATTTGCTAGAGCTTTCAATTAAATGATTTTTTATTGATTTAAAGATTGCTTCTAAATCTGAAGGAAATTAAAACTGCTTGGGCTGATAACACAAATTTCATCCTATTTTGGCTTGATGAAATTTTGCTTTACTTTGCTTCATGTAAATTTTTCCTTTTTAAAAATCACCTTACCAGATAATAGGCATTTGTGAAATAAGGCACTAAATTATTTGATGTTATTTGAAGTAGTGTGCTTTTTTTAGAATTTTCATCTTTTTCTTTTGTAAAATATGTTGTTGCGAAATGTACAGGCACGGTAAGATGTCTTCTCCACAAAGCAGTTTTGGGGTTGCCATAAAATGGCAAGGTAAGGCAGGGTTGCCACATTTGGTGAGAATTCGCCCATTTGGCGACAAAACTGCCAATATACCATGGACGGTTGGAGAACCTTCTGAAACGAATTCTTGCCCGTTTAGCCCAGAATGTTCTCGAACACCAGTCAAAAGCTATATAAACCCTGCTGGTATGTGGAGAGTTAGTTACGAGTTAGTGTGTGTGTCTCGTCTAGCGAGCTGATAGTCAGTCATTGAGCGAGTGTCTCAAAGTCTAGCTCTCAGTTCATCGTCAAGTGCATCAAGAGAGTCTTTTAGTGTATCGTGAATTAGTGCATCGTCGAGTTTCATCTTAGACTGTGCTGAGTCGAGAGCTATACTCTTGTGCATTGCGTGTTGTAGCGTGGAGAGTTCGAGAGTACATGGAGTTCCGAGAATGACCAAGCAGAGTCGGAAGCTGTACTCTGGTGCTATGCAGTGAAGCTTGTCTCCACCGTTATTGCCTGACAGTGTGAAGGCTGTGTCGCTGATCGTGTCAGTATGTTTATAGTAGTTCATTGATGACTGTAAAATGTGTTTTGCAGCTATCCTGATAATATTGGCTAAATAAAGTGTGTTTCGATACTTCATCAAGTTTCATCGTTATTCACTCCAAATCTACGAACGTAAAGGAAGAAAATAACGTAACAACTGGTGTCAGAAAAAAGAAAAACGCAACAATATTTAATCTGTCATCCTAGAAAACTTAATTTCTCTCTTTCCAGGAATACTGATTGCATGCAATGGAAAATGATCACACCATAATTATGAGTTCTTTTATTTTTGTTATCGTCAAAGATGTTGTCATGTTTGCAACTTTATATATCATCATTATTGATGTAGCGGGTTTATAGAAAATTTTTTGTAGAAAGAAACACCAACTCTCCCCCCCCCACACACACACAAAGCCTAATAAAGGTTTTAAAAATACAGGAAATACTTGTGGGTTCGTGCTCACTTCCTGCCATTCCCAGGAGGCTCTTTCCTATGAAATGATGCATCTCATTTTTTTATTATATTTGTGAGGTATACTTCCTTAAATTAATAAAATGTATTAAGGCTTTTTGTTTTGTTTTTATTGTTATAGCAAATTCTTGGTATATTTTAATTTTTCAAAAAAAAATTAATAAGATATATATATATATTTCTTAATCTTCGTTATTTTTTATTGAAAAGTTTCATCTCTATTTGTGTGTAATAAATTTTGAATGTACCACTGCTGTGGATTTTCCCCTCGTCTGCTTTCTTAAAGCAGAGTGGAGAAAAAAGGATCCAGAAAGCAGATTCCAGGAAAAATAATCAACAGTAGTGGATTTTTTTCCCTCTGCAACATTATTTTAATTTAAGTAAATAAATGAATGTGCATTGCTCTATACAGAATATTTTGTATTGGAGGTATATCTTCTTCTCAACCTGTATCTTTTTCTCTGTTTGTGTCTTTAAAAAAAATTATCAAGTATTGTTGTTAAAATCTCTAATTGTAAAAATATGAATTTTTAAACATTAATTTATATAAGCTTAATGCATGAAGTTCAAATGTCTGTAGCAGACGAAAGCTTTATAATAACATTTTACTTTCTAATTTTGATGACGGTTTTATATAATTTTCTAAATTGTAATTTTTGTGAGTAATAAGGAACACTTATGTTTAAACTTTTAAAAAATGTTTTGAAATATTTTACTTATATCTGTTGTAAAGTTTTAGAAAAATTTATAAAATGTATGTATCATTTGAATTATTATTTTTTACCTTCTTTCAGTCACCACCTAAAGGAGCAACCATTCCCTATCGACCAAAGCAAGCTGTGTTGCCTTTATTGTTTTCAGGTGGTCAAGCCTATGCTTTGCCTGGACAATATGCTCTTCCCCATCCTGATGTAAGGTGGCATTTACTCATATGAAACCTTAGTGTTTACTTATAAAATGATCGTTTTGAAAAACTGAATGCATTCCTTTTTACACTTCCTATATGCTGTAAATTTACATTTTAATCTTAATAAAAATGAAGGAAATTGTTTTCAAAAATTATGACATGCAAATTTATTAGGTAAGCTTCTTAGAAAAGTACTTTTCCCCTTAGATGATAAGTTGCCATGAAATAGTAATAATGAAGCTAATTTTAATCATTTAGATTTTAAACTTAAAAAATCAGAATTTAATTTTTTTAATTCTATAAATACAGTCAAAAGTCGTTAATCCGGACTCGTCGGGACTTTGGCGATTCCGGATTATCGATTTTTCCGGATTATAGATCATCAGTTTAAATCGCGTAAGATGGCATGCAGAAATTCTAAAATTAAAAATATGAAACCGTAATTTATGAAATAAAGAACAATTATGATCTAAAGAGTATCAAAATTTACCAAAAAAAAAAAAAAAAAAAAGCTTAATATTTATTTGTTTACTTTATTAAACATTCCTTTTAATGTAAGTTGTTTCGTTTTATGTGATAATACTTTCTCTTTAATTCTATAAACAGACATAATTTTTTGTTCACTTACAAAGTTCCGCTGTTCAAGTCCCGTTAATTGCTGTGCCGAGAATACCGACTAACTTGTCAATCGAAATTTTTTCGTTTTCACTAACCTCTCTGTCACATTCTTCATGTCTTTATCCATTTTTTGCAGCAATTCCACTTTTTGTTTGGTGGACATCGAAACATACTTTCGTTTTGTATGATCCTTTGGGAGCTCCAGAATCAAAAATTCTATTTGACATAATCGAAAGTTCAAGTTTACTTTTATAGTATTGCTCTTACAGTCTGCAAAAAATAATAAGCCGGATCCAATTCGAAAATCAAGGAACAACGCAATCATCAACATTAACTGAAATAGATAATTAGATAATTTTAGCTTACACCGTCCGTTATACATAAAACGCGCACGCGAAAACGTATTCTGCGCTTGCGCACACGCAAATGCGCAGTCGTAAGAGGTCTTCCGCGCACGCGTAAACGCCTATGCGCATGTGTCAACGCGGCGCATGCACAGAAAGTTTTTAGCTTTGAGGTCCGGATTATAGATCATTCCGAATTATGGGTGTCCGAATTAACCACTTTTGACTGTATAATACAGGAATGACAGCCACAGTGTTTCATATCGACATAGCTATTAAAATTTTGAAACTGAATGTGTTTATAGCAGCTCGCATTTGGTTTCGGAGCTTTCTGCTTTTCAATTTTATTTGCAAATATCAATTAGTAAATATTAGTGAAACATGTTTTTCTTTCACATACATTGTTACTATCTTTTTTGAAACCTGCTTGTTTTTAGAAAAACTTATTTAAAATGTTTTTGATAGAAAAAATAATTTATTCAGGAAAATTTCTGAAAATGAGCTTGCATCAGTTGTTGGTCCTTTTGAACAAGCAAACAAAATTAATAAATAATAAAATCATGAAAATAATGGGGGTATAAAATATTTTTTAAGATATCCTTTAGCTGAAATTATACTTTTCATGCATTGCAGCATGGATTTAACTACTTTTTTTTTAAGTAAGAATTTTACATTGTCCCATCAGATTTGTTTTAGTAGATCTTTCTAAGAAATGTCCTGTTTATATATTCTTTTTTCATTCCATACATGTTTGATAAGATTTAAAGCCAAAGAATATGAAGGAGTTTTGATAACTTCAGGATAGTTGTGTTGACCACAAGCCATATTATATAGGGTTGTATGTTTAGGATTGTTATTCTGGTAGAACTTGAATGTATTTTGCATTTCAAGTTTTTTACTAATGCTTTCAGGTTTTCACTAAGAATATTTGTATATTTATACTTATCCATATTATTTTCTTTAAAATTTAAATTTCCCATCGCAGAGGCAATGAAACATATGCAATCTATTATTCTTTCAACATCATGCTTAACAGTATACAGCAGGTTTCATGAATTCAGTTCTTCATTTGGGTTTCATCTTGTATATAGCAGATCGTCCATCAAACCCAAATATATTAAATTCTGACTGTCTGCAAATATAACATTGTTTCACTATGATAAATCTTTGCTTATTGTGAATTTTGCAAACACCAGGCATATTTTCTGTCTGATGGAAGAATCTTATTCCTGCTGATTGCCTATGATAGCCATGTGGCCTAATTATTTTTCCAGGGTTAACATTTATTGCAAGCTGTTCTTCTAAATTCATTGCAAGTATTTTTTTTTTTTTTTTTTTTTTTTTTTTTTTTTTTTCCCCCTGTGATAAACTTCCAATTCTTTCATGTTAGCTTGAAATGTAGGCTAGACTTCAGCATATGTTGAAACAGTTCCATCCCATTTTCATCATTTTAATGCACCAAAGATAGATAAGTGCTTTGCATCAAATATATTTTTAATATTTTAAACATTTTTATCTTTTTTAAAAAATCTTAAATTATAAGCAGCGCTTGTAGTTAATTTGTAGCATCTTGCCATGATCACTTCAGATATGGAATTGTAATTATATTAGCTAAACAAGTAGTAATTTCCAAGGGAAATTTTGTCAAAGAAGCTGAAAAAAATCAAAGCTATTCAGGAATAAAAATTTTTGAATTTGGGATCTTATTACTGGCCTTGAAATTTGTGTATGAATCAAAAACTGAAATGTGCTAGTCAAAGAATGCAGTGAATAACATGAAAAATCATAAATCAAGTGTGAGAAAAGTCTTGCATATCTCCACTAATAATTGAAATTTCATTTTAATTAAAACAAAATATAAAAACTGTTTCTAGTAAGAAATGAAAAATATATAAACATCTTATCTCTCTTGATATAAATATAATTTTCTGAATGAAAATATTGGTAGTTTTCATTATTGTAAAGGGTGTACAATCTATGAATTCCAGTTTAAAATATGTGTGTCACTAATAGAAACATATTACTGAAATCTTCCTAGTTTTCTGTATGTGTACATTAGCTTTGAGGTTAATAAGATATACATTAACAAGTTCTAATTCAGATTCTCATTTTGTTGATAATATGCATTAAATATATTGCTTTTTATTATTATTATTATTATTTTAGCAATAAGTAAGTACCCTTGTTGGACATACCGTCTATTAGTTTGAGTTTAAAGCAATTTGTAAAAATTCTTAATGTAATGTTTTGATGGTTATTTTTTCACAAACTGAAATATTGTATTTTTTAGTATTCATTATTTTAAAAAGTATCCAGAAATAGGTACATTTAATAATACTATCAGTTTTTCAAATCTGTTATCTAAATCCCTAATTAAAAAAAAAAAAAAAAAAAACTAGAATGAGCTTTGTGCTAAATGTGTTCCTTTTTATTATTGTAAACCTTAGCTTATTGTGCATTTTGGATATTCATTTCTGCCATTTATCCTGCTGATGAGAATGATAAGCACTTAACAGAAAACAAAATAATCCTTTATTGCTTTACTGTTTGTGAAAGTTTTTATTCCTGAAATAGGAATGTGCGAATTAATAAACATAATGAACATTTTTTATTTTTGAGTAAAGGTGATCTTTTATGCTCTGTGCATATAACCCATGCTTCTCCATTTTTTTGGTAGTTTTTATAAGTTTTTCAACTTTTCTGTGTATAATGATTTTTTAATGTTTTTATTTATTTACTGAATAAATCTGCTAAAAGAGAGTAGTGAAGAAGGGGTTCTTGAGAATTTAGTTTTCATATTTAATTTTAATTCTTAGTAAGAAAATATTATATAAATGATTTTGAATAAATAAAAATACATTTATTGCAATTCTGTGTTTTATTTTTTGCTTAAAGTATTCTTATTTCTGTTGTTACTTATTAAAATGTTAGAGAATTTTGTTTGGAGACAGCATGCGAGATATATGCTTTTTAGTGACGTTGCCAGGGATTATAGAAGCTTTTAGATCCATTTATTTAAGTGTTCATATTCTTAAATCCTAAGTACAATTTCTGCATATATTATAAAATTATAGAAGTGTTTGTGAATATTTCTATTTTTTACCAAATTTTTATTAACAAAATAATGTGTGTGTTACATGTTTACCATATATCTTCCTTTCCCTGAAAATCCCTGGCCACGTTCACAAATCTTAGATCAGTGGTTCTCAACTTTACTATTTCATTTTCATTGTACTTACATCAGAGAGAAAACTACAGAATATCATCGTATGTACTGGGCGAGTAAATTTTTTAATTATTTATGCATGTATTGCCTTTCTTAAAAATAGCCATATGTACAGTTACCTAAAAAACAAAACAAATTGAAAAAAACTCGGCTGTATATTATCAGTAGTTTTTTAATTATTTTTATATTTATGTTTAATATCTGAGTGCATGTTATTTTTACAAATTACATGAAAATCCTTTTGGGGAACAGAATAGATAAAAATGATAATTTCAGTGATTGTTTAAATGTAATTTCAGAATTGCATTTAACCCATTAATTTCATAGGAAAAATAAAGTTCTGTATACTCTGCTGTATTCGAACAACTAGGTCTAGGAAAATGCTTTGTGGCTATTTTTTCTTAAAATTATGTATGAATGGCAAAATGACCCGGATATCCTTATTTTGGTTTGAAAAAAAATGTTTAATATTTTTATATTATAAAATATTTTTATTACTAGATATGAAAACAGAAGGCTTATGCCTACTGCATATGAAAGAATAAATAAGTTATCGCACATTATTGTTTTGCACAAGAGTATATAGTTTAGAGTAAATTCTAGAAATAAAATTCAAGGTTATTGCGTTATGAAAATCTCTTGCATGTTGACCCTTTCACCATCTACAAGGCAAAATGAAGTGCAGGAGGTTAGAGGCTCAGTAACCCACACATTTCCAAATCTGCATGTAATGTTCAACTCTCCTGAAATGTGGCAGTTAATAGCCTGTTGCTACCTAAATAATATAAAAGTAGATTAGTGGGCAAGCCTGCCAGATGAGCAGGCTGCGACCAAAACAAAGTGGAGTTTAATACATTTCAGTATGAATGAAAACGGTTCATTCTTTCCAAGCAACAACCAATTTGTAAATAATTTTTTACTTTCCCAACCAAGAAATAAAAACTTTTACACATCAGGTTAATATGTTATACATATGACATCATGGGTTGATCTTTACATTATGGTAACTTGGCGATCTTTTGGCGAAAATTTGGCAACCAACTCTCCTACAGCAACCCTCTATTTTTTTTCCCCGCCGCCATTTTGTCTTCACGAAGTAAAGACAAGGTTTCTTTTCTTTTTATCTACTGAACACTTCTTCCAACAATCTACTACTAGCCGAATTACACTTATGCTAGAAAATTTATCAAACAAAACTGCTTAATCCTGACAAATATTCACTGCAAAATTGGGAAAAGTGCACAATCCATCACTCCTTACGGTTTTTTCAAATAAACACATACACATAAACCATTACAACACGGCGACTTTTTACTTAAAAACCCCGAATTGCACAAAATGGCATTGCACACACTCTTCACTATATCCATGTACACTGCTTTTTTCCATAAATTACAAAAATTTCACAAAATACATGACAATTTTTCTCAATCTTTAACCCGGTAAAAAAACATGTATGAAATTACCTGATCGCGAAAAAGTATTTACCCTTTACAATATGAACATTTCCACATATAAAATAAATAAATATCTAAAAACTTTTACCTCTAAATCATCTATTACATTATACACGTCCCCAACGAATTCATACCGCAAGCATTACAAATACTTAGTATCAAATATTTAAATTATTTCCATGCCGTTTATTTCAACTTAAACGTATACCAAATTCCTAACAACAAAAATTCACCAAATAACTATCATTTAATTAAAATATCACTAAACCATGTACACATCGACTTATTTTTACTTAAAAAAACATCCCAGAATTGCACAAAAATGGCATTGGCGCACACTCTTCACTATATCCATGTACACTGCTTTTTCTCATAATTACAAAATTTCACAAAAATACATGACAATTTTCTCAATCTTTAAACCCGGTAAAAAGAACATATATGAAATTACTGATCGCGAAAAAGTATTTACCCTTTACAAATATGAACATTCCCACATATAAATAAATAAAAATATCTAAAAACTTTTACCTCTAAATCATCATTACATTATACAACGTCACCAACGAATTCATACCGCAAGCATTACAAATCTTAGTATCAAATATTTAATTATTTCCATGCACGTTATTTCAACTTAAACGTATACCAAATTCCTACAACAAAAATTCACAAAATAACTATCATTTCATTAAAATAATTAAATTCAAAACACTACTTGAATATAAATGAGCACATACATTAAATTAATAAAAATTACCTTACAATCCTAATTACTTTAAAATAAATCATTGCTAAGACAATTTTCCCCAATAATACCAAATTCCTTTCCACCTTACATTTAGAACAATGCATAAAAATAATATCCTCAAATAATTAAAAATACTAACTTACCTAATCTTCTTCAGAATCTGATTACGTGGCGGATACACTTTTTCTATTCATTCAATAAATAATTTAAAGATTTTTTCGTGAATTTGTTTTTTTTCCTCCATACTTCTTCCTTCGCTAAATAAAAAGCAAACTTCTCTTTATCACAATGCCTAAATATACCCATTTCGATTTACTTTAGTTAGGGCCATGGGATCCAAAAATTAAACAACACTGTTTCACACACACAGAATAAAGCTAATACAAAATTTCCACATTTTTTCCCGCTTTCCCCCCTTTTTCCGATAAAGAACCATAATTCGTCATTAATATCACATGACATATCCCATGATCTCTCATTTCCCTTCACGCAAATAATGCGTAATTGGAACTGAGTACTGCTCACATTATTACCAAAGTCCCAGGTAGTAACCTTTATCGCCTCCAAAATGTCGCCGAACTACCAGTTACCATATTGTAAAGATCAACCACATCATGATTTAAATTTATTGTAATATAACAGCTTTTTCTCAATACCAATAAAAGAAGTAATGTGGCAATAAGATACCGTCATTATCCTAACCTAAAACAAAAAAGTTGCCAACAGCACTATTTATTTAAAATGCTGACATTAAGGAAAATGTTTCGACATACAATGACGTCACATGCAATCGCTTGCCCTTTTTCAAGTCAGAATATGATCTTATATAATAATAAAATATATATTAAGTTTGGAAGTGCTGTTTTTATTTTATATTTTGTAAAACTTACAAAATTTTTATTAACAAACTCTAGGATTTGAGAGCGAGCAGTTGACACACTTTTCGAAAATCCCGTAACACTTTCCGTAATGCCCCAGATAGCCTTTCATTCAAACAAACACAACCGCCCCAAACACCTGAAATTGCGATGTTGTTTTCTTCCCTCCCCTAAGGTATGCAGTAGCAGGTGCTGTTTCCCCAAATGCATTGTATCAGTTTATTGCTGGCAGATTGTCCCAAAAGGATTTATTTTCTTTAATTGTTGGAAGTAGAAAGGATGTCATTTGAAATCTTCACTCTTCTTTATACATTAATGGATGAGGACTAGAGGAAATTGTGGAAAATCATTTCGAGTTAATATACAGTTAGCGAAGCCTTCGGTTTTCAAAGAGTTAATATCTCAGCTGATTAAAGTCAAAGATGAGAATGCTTGAAATGGCTTCCTATGAATTTTTGAAATCGAGAATAGTGCATTTAATGTTTAGAAATGCTATTTTTATTTCATATTTTGTAAAACTTTGAAATTTTTTCAAAGAAATTCTAAGATTTAAAATCAAGCAGTGGCAGCACTTTTCAAAATAAAGCACATTTTTATCTCCAGTGTGCAGGACTCTATTCAGAAAAACTCATGCTTTTGGTAGTGGTTCAAAGTTCACTATGTCCTACACAGCAACAGCCCTGGGAGGTGAGCCGTCATGGATATTGAGAGGCTTTTCAGCATGTTACGCAGGTCCAAAAGGTCCCGTGTGTCAATTTTTATTATTACGTATCTGACGCCCAGCAACGTCACAGGGGCCGAACTGGTTGCAGACATGCTGTGGAAGTTTCCAAAAGTCAATCTCACCATGAGAAGATGAGGAGTCCTTAGGGACGAGCAAATTAAGATGCCAGTCCGCAGGAGGGTAACACACTTCTCTATCGTGAAAGAACTTTGCAACGAGTTTACGTGAAACTGGTTAAAGACAAGTCTCGACCAGCAGTGATAGTCATTTCTCAACCACCAGTCGGTATTTTGTCCCTACCCGCATACCTGATGAAGTGGTTTTAGAGTTTTTAATTAATATCTCAGCAAATTAAAGTCATACTTAGATGAGAATGGTCAAAATGGCTTCTAGTGAATTTTTGGAATTCGGGGTACCTCTCTTTACACAATTCCACCACCACACAAACCACTGCCACAAACAGACAGACAAATGCTCACAGATTTTTAATAGTATAGATTATCATATATATGTTATATATGTTATGTGCTGCATTCTTACAATAGGGTTAGCTATAGAAAACACTTTTGTGAATAAGGAGATGCTCATCTAGTACTGCACCGTATTCATCCATATAAGTTTAAATCATGTGCTTGCTGGATAAATTGTCTCTCTATAGGCAAATGCATAATACAGTATGTATTTACCTTATTGAAATAATATTAAATCATGTATTGAAAATGTAATTATATCAATTCTGTAGGATACATGTGATTTTTAACTGTTGCACTTATGGTGATTTTTATGCATTGCATGCAGTATTTCTTTTGACTGAAATGGTGAGATTTTGTGGAATATGTTCATGTATATTGTGATGTGTAGCTTCTCATAAATTAAAGTTTGCTTCATTATTTGTTCTTTTCATATGCCTAATGATGGAAAGCATAATTTTTCTGAAAATTGTTAGAAATCCCTAACAGAGCTATATAGATTGTAAAATTTTATTATTAATACTCAAGCTAGTCACATACAGAGAAAATAAAATTCCTATACCAAATAATTTTTCAAAATTTTTATATTTCATAGAATTCTTTTTAAGGTTATACCATCCATTTATACAGAAATGTTGAGAACCACTTTTATTAGATTATTGTTTATGTGCGTGTGTGTTGTTGGTTGACCCCCCTCTCTTTCCTCCCAGCTGAGCAAGCTGCAACATCTGGCAACCCTTCAGCATGCCTCCACTGCACCCCTCTTGCCTGGGCACACTACGTCACCTCAAGGTAGTCAACCCCTACTCTTACTCTATCCTACTTTTCCTACTTCGCTTCTCCATTGTTGCCTTTAGCCTTTTTTTTTTTTTTTTTTTTTGTTAGGAATGTTAGTTAAATTAATTTTCTTGATCCTCAATACAGTGGCCTCAGCTGAATATGAATTCTTCAATTCTTCTTGTTTTATTACATTACATATCCTGCTATAAATATTACAAGGAAAATTCATGGTCTTGCATATAAATTTAATCACATAGATTATATATTATAATTTTTTTTCAGCTGTGTGTATATAATGTGTTGTTTCATTGTACCAAAGGTGAAATTGTTATAGATATATGAAAAAGGTTCCTTCTCATCTGGAAAATCCAGGAAAGTAGCTGAAAATTTATAAATTTATATATATATATATTGTAAACTGTGAACTTTTTCCAAAAAGTCACAAAAGATGGGAAAGTGCCATTTTCTCAAATAAAAAAGTTTGTGTTTTAAATAGTAACCAATGAACAAAAACTGTCTATGTAAAAAAGAAAAAAAAAAAAAAGAAAAACTCCTATAATCTTTTTCCTGTACATTTCTGACTTTAAATAAGAATTATGAATGGATCAAAATTTTAATACTTCAAATAACATTAATGAACATTCTTTATGCTTTTTCAAAATGTGAAAGAAATTAGTTAGAATTTTTAGATGTGCAGCCATATAAATTAATATCGCTTCATTAATGAAAAGTGTCTACAAAAGTAGGTAAAATTATGAAGCAAACAATTTAATTATATAACTCAGAAATTATTTATTTTAGAAGTTTATGGCTTACATTATTATGAAGGAAAGCAGCCCAAGTTTTGTTTCTTATATTATCACTGTCTCTAAATTTCAACTTAGAAATAGTTTATGACATGGCATGTATTCAGATAATACTTGAAATCATTCCATATTGCTGGAAATAGAACTCTAGCCATAATATCCATTATTTAGACTTTTTAGGTATTCATGTTGATTTGATCAGTGCTGTTTTTTAATTAAGCTATCAATTGAAAACACTAAGAGGGAAAAATGTTTGATTGAAGTATAGTATACTTTCTGTGGTCTGGCTCTTTCTGAGTCTGATAAGACTTTGTGTAGTCTGGTTCTGATTATTGTTTTTAGAGGAATGGGTATTTTTGCTGGTTTGGAAGTTGTATTATGCTTTGCATTCCAGTAGTCATAACAGGGATTTAGCCTTTTCTTTGGTCTGTGCATTGTTACTGTCCTATATATAAGTGATTTACTATTTCAGTTGCCTTCATCCAGATTCTGTATTTTCGAAAGAATTTGTCTAAGATATGCAATTGTAGTTTATATAGAATTAACATTGAATGAATGTAATTGGTATTAAAGTTTATGCTTAATTAAAAGTCCCATTATATTTTGGAAAATGTTATTTTCTTACGTATACCTTTTTCTACATGTACCTCTTATGCCTCTGCCTCAATATGTAAAGTTCACTTGTACCATGCAAGTTTAATGTGAATATTTTGTGAAAACCACCTTAAGTGGGAGAATATGACTGTGAAATTCTACTGTTAATAATACTTATTGTGCTTAAGAATTTATACTTTTAATCAACATCTCATTTTATCTTATAATAATCAATGACTAAAAAAAAAAATTTTTTTTTTTTTTTTTTTTTTTTTTTTTTTTTTTTTTTTTTTTTTTTTTGCTACAGTCAGTTGTTGTTGAGGGAAAAAGGTATTTTTTCATAAATGTGAACCACCCACTACCTTAAAAATCCTTCATGAAGACATTTCTCTAAAATGTAACCCTTTAATGCTTTCTTGTAACAAAATAATTTGCACTTTAATATACTTAGTTCTGCTTGCTTGTTGATGTAACAATGAAATATGTAATGTCAGAACACAGTCTACCCCATTTCATAAATTGATTAAGAATGTTAATTGTGCATAAATTAGTATTTTGTGCTTTAATACTATTAGATACATCATTATCTCTCGCACTTTAATGATGTTTTTGTATTTAAAACAGTTTAGTACAGTGTACAGTGTCTTCAGGTATAGTAATGATACTTTTTCAAGGGCATTTTTATTTATGTTTAAATAATTCAAATATATATTCTTCAAGTAATTCCCTTAGGAAACCACACATATACCAGAGACATTGCTGTGCTTGAACTCTGAATTTGGAGACCGTATTTTCATCACTTCTTTATGCTGAAGGTGTTCCAGAGCAAGGATCCTTTCCAATTGATTCTAAACCTTAGGTTTTAAATCCCTGAAAACCTGTGCTTTTGATAAAGCAGAGTTTCTGTTGGCCTGTTTAATTTTTGCAGAAGCTTAGTCACATTATATTCTAATTTGACACAAAACTTGATTTGTCTTTACTCAAAACTTGGATCACTCGTTTTCATGACACATAAAGAAAATTCCATGAAGGAAGCAGTAACAAAGTATATGTGAACGCTGTGAAGTTGCTGCTCTAACTGAAACTATAATCTCCTGGAAAAGGCAACTGCTCTTTCTGGAAGGCAAGCAAAAAGAAAAATTAAGTAATCAAAATTTAAATTTATCAAATGTTTCTGCACTTCATTGGTATTTAGACTGACTTACTGATGTTCTACTGTTTTTGTTCTGAAATTAGACTTTTTAATGAAATTAGAAGGATAACTTAGTGTTTCGTTTTATTATCCCCCTTGAAATTTAATTCCTTCTAGTTTTGATTGTATAGGCCACTGTATTGAAGAAAGAGAAAATATTATGTAATTGCTATCATGTGGTGCAAATCTGTAACTCACCCCCTTAAAGATATCCAAATATTTACAGCTGTATCTTTAGAATTTTCTGTCGCATGATATATTTATTATTTTAGTGGAATAAATTATTGCAGTATTTTATTTCTAAAGTAACTTCTCAATAATCCCCATTTGAGTTTGATTAGTAATAACTTTCACTGATTTATTTAAATTAAATGTTGAATTATTGCATGGAAATATCTGCAGTCTAAGCCCTCTAAAGTTAAAATAATTTTATATTCTTTTTATTTCTTTGTAATCATCTCTATTTTCTGTAATCTTGTAAAAACATTATTATTATTTTGCTGGTGTTTAATTTTGTTTTGAGAATGTTATTTTGTTATCAGTGTTTCGATATATTTTGCAGTAATTTGTATATGTATATATTTTAGCATGGGCTTCATTAGCAGCTGCAAATAGTGTTCGTTCACTCAACAGAGCTGCTGTAACACCTAGCTCAACTGCTGAAATGACTGTTTCAAATGAACTCATTGGGTGCATTATTGGAAAAGGTGGAACAAAGATAAATGAAATAAGGTACTTAGATTTCTAATTGTGTTTATAGGTATACAGAGGAAAACTAGTATGTACTAAGCACATTCAAATATGCAGAATAAGTATGGAGAAGTATTTGAAATAATACACCTATATTTTATTGTTAAACTATATTATTTTTATGTAATGTATTTTAAACTATAATTTAACTTAAATGCCTTTGATTTTGTTTCTAAGGCAAATCTCTGGAGCTATTGTCAAAGTTTCTAACACTGAAGAAGGCTCAAAAGATCGGACTGTTACCATAACAGGCAGTCCTGCAGCTGTTAATTGTGCTCAGTATCTTATAAATGCAAGGTAATTTAAGATACTTTTGCATTGTGTGTATTATAGACCTAACTTAATGTCAATTTATCTTGGCAATTTCTATTAGTTAATCTATTTCTATTTTACAATTAAAATATCAGTAAACTATTAATCTCTTTGCATGTGCACATAGTGCTTACATGAATACATGAGTGTGTGATAAAGTTGAAGCAGTAACCTGCTTTTTTTAATGCAATTCATAAAAATATTATTTGAAGCATAAAATATTTATCATTGTGATTACCAAATTGTTTGCCCAAGATATTAGATTGTGTTAACTACAAATTTGAACCTAACAAACTGGAACTGATATCTTGGACCAAGAAACTAGAATTTGTGTTAAAGAAATATCTACACTACATACCAAGAAACCAGATTGTGTATTATAAGAATATTTATACCATGTTTGATGGCATTACAAAGTCTGATTGCCTAGCAAAGAAGTTCTGCTTACACCCTTGTGATAATATTTGGGCAGTTTCTAATTGCTGATAGGGTTCTTATTTTGAAAATCAATTTAGATATGTTTTTTATTATATCGCACCTATGAAGCAATAATTAACTGTATGAGTAGAAACTGCTTTTTATAATAGGTAAATGAGTTGGTACTCTATATTTGGATTATCATCTTGTAATAAACTTGTAATAAATCATATCATCTCATAAGTTTATTCTGTATTTTCATCGATGTTCTAAAAGTTACTTATCTCTGAAAAGTTTTAGTACACAGTTAAAAGCAAATAACATATATTTATGAAATATTTTGAAGATTAATAATAACCAATTTTGTTAATACTTAAAATCTATATTTAGTTTATCATCTCATAATAAATTCTCTTCTGTATTTTCATTGATGTTCTAAAAACTTTTTAATTATTAGTTTGTCTTCATTTCTAGCATTGAAAGACACAAGAGTTTAGACCCTAAACCAACACCAGCATCACCAGCTACAGTGAGTTTTGCACCATCTTTAGCTGCAGCTCCCCTTAGCCCTTTGGCAGCAGCTTCTCTTGGCCAACTAGTGAAAACCACGCCATCACCTCTTTCTTTAGGCCTTGCACCAGCATTTTTGCGAGGATCTGCAGCAGCTTTATTTGCAGCTAATTTCAAGCAATTTCAAGCTAAGAACCTTTCTTATAAACTGAGAGCTTCAACAGCAACAACTGGAGGCCTCAAGAAGGATGATAGAAACAAGTTTTCCCCTTACTAGAAAATAATATTAAGTAGTACTGAACTGTGTGCCAAAAACAGTTCCTGCTCTTAAACATGTTAACAGGGTTGCCACATATGCTCAGAGCATTGATATTTGTGGCTATTCACTAATTCAAAGTTTAAGAACTCGTATGTACTTAATATTTTCTGAATTTTATCGAACAGGTGACCAAAAAAATAATGATAGTAATAAGCCTATATTTAAGAAATTTTTAATTTCAATGTCTTTTTCTGATGTGATGTCACTTGAAATATGGAATGTTGACATTCTTGTGTGTAATACGCAAACAGTTGCATAAAATGCTTGATAAAGAGTGAGTTTGGATGCAATCAACTCTTCAGGTTCAATAAGTGTTTTGACTGACTTAAAAGCATTGGTTTTTAATCCCTTCCACCTGACTGCAGAATTTTTGCATCAATGTCTGCAGTCCTTATTAAGAAGTAAATCATCTTCTGTTAACACTTTAATGTATTAATTGTCTTGTATATCCTAGTCAAAAAAGTGTTTACTGCACTTTTATATCATTCTGCACTTGTTCTCTTATTCATCATGGTGATATTGGCATATGCAAGAATTTTATTCATTCAGTGTGCAATTATGTGTGTTACTTATTCCCCTACACCCTATTTTTGTAGGGTATTATAGTAATGAATTTCAGTCTGTTTTCAAACTCTCACTTTTTTTAAAAAAAAGCACTGAAATGTATTAGCTGCTTTTTCATGAAAATATTCTTTCTTAAATGTTTAGAAAATATATGATTAAGTATAATTTTAATGCTGAAGATGTTTTCAAAATATTCATTCATTGCTTAGTCTGATTAGTAACTATTATTAGTTTTCCTTTCATGACTTGATGAATGATTGTGTTTTTCCCAAATAGTGATTCTGTTTTGCATCAAGTAGCATAGTTTGTTAATTTTTTTTTTTAATTATATGGCTCCAATTCACATATCATTCAACTCTTAAATCAGACCAAATTTTGCTATTATCAACTTTTGCTATCTTATTAACTGAATGTTACTAATCATCTAGTCCAAAGACATGAGTTGTCCCATGGACTAGTACCCTTGGAGAATTTTCTATATTTGTTGTTGGCTGCATATCAGACAATATTTTGTGTAGCTTTTGAAAACTCTTGAAATATTTTCCTATTTAATCCACTTTAAGATGCTAACAAAAAGTAGAGCTAGATATTTTCTGCTCAATACATTGTGATGTTTTCTGGGTATTAAACAATTTTGAAGGGGTCCTTTACCGAAAATGTAGCTGTACTTTTTTTGTTTTAGAAGATTAATAAATTCTTAATTTTACCGCTTGTTAGATTAACTCATGTTAGTCAATGGCAGTATCTTAAGGAAGTGTATAGTTAAATTTCGTAAAAGAAAGGATACCAAGTTTAATTTTATATTTATGAAATAAATTTGTTATCATTTGTGTTTCTTCTTTCTGTTTTTCTAATTTTGGAAAAGTGGTTGAGGGTTTTTTAATTTTGAATAATTTTTGAGATCTATTATTAATTTTAAAATTTAAATGTTCTTATATTAATTTCACTTAATTTCAACATGTATTCATTTATAAAAGAAAAATACTTGTCCTGTCACTGCCCTTGGCAAAAATGAGTTCTTTTTCTCTTTAAATGTTACTCTTTTGAATTGTTGTAATAAAATGTAAATTTCAAGCATATTGACTTAGAGTATGATAAATCTTTTTTATAAAGATGTGATTATCAAAAATGTTAAATATTGTATGTGTCATTTATGTACTAGGATATGTGATATTCAAATATATGCATCAAAATTTTAAACCTTCTATTAAAATATGCTATTTTTGCATTTGCTGGAAATTTTTAATAGCACTTATTTATCTTTAGATAGCCTTCTGTAGATATAGCTAGTGTGTGTATGTTAATATATGTGTAAATATATGCACAAAACTAAGTAGTTTCTCCTCAGCTTTTAAGGTCACATTATAAGCAGTTTCCTAGAATGCAAGAGAGAGCTAAGCGATTGAAAGCACATGTAAATTAGGTTTAGTATATAATAGTGAGTAGAAATTAAGGATAACTAATCCTTGGGCAGTATGAGTTTAAAAAAAAAAAAAAAAAAAAACTTTCTTATTTTACTTCTTTTCTGAAGTTTTATGTCACAATGTAAATTATATAAGGATTTTTAATGACTTCTAAAAAATTGTATGAAATGCTTTTGGAGCCCTTTTACTTGACATTTTAATGGTACATTAACATTCAGATATTTGTCTTCAGAATCCTTATAACATAGGTTAGTAACAACAGTTTTAGAAGAATGAATAAATTTGTAGATGGAAATTCATCCACATCTGCACCATTTAAATTGCCTCTCTAATCATAAATACCATTGCATCTGCATTGTCAATGTTGATAAATTAGTTTTTGAAAATATTTCTTTTCAAGCTTATAGCAAGCATTTTCTTTCTCTTTTGGCCAAATATTGTTTAATATTTCTTTCTAAAGATTGGCACTGTGACTCTAAAAATTAAATTTCATTTTGGTAGCTTTATTATGTATAAATTTTCTAATTAAATTTAGTAATCATATTATCATTACTAAAATTTCTTTGGAACAAGCTGTTTTATATTTGATGCAGTTTCCCTCAATACAAATAAAATCCATAGCTGCCAACTCTTCTGGTTTTTCATCACATCTTTCGGTCTCCTGGTAGATCACTGAATCTCCAGGTTTTTAATTTAAGTCTTTACTAAAAAAAATTTCCATGCAATAAATGAAACTTAACTAATGCAAATTGCATTTCCCTCTGCTTCTAGTGATTTTCAGAATAATTTTTTGTATTAAATTTCATTTATTCTGAATTGTGTTTATTCTTATTACATTTTATTGATCTTTCTATTATTAAATTTTATTAGATTTTATTTGTTTTAATCTAATGTACGCATTTGCAGACTTTTATATAAAGATTTAAACAGAGTTTAATCAGTTAATATGAGTATTTAATTTTGTTTACTTCAGTATTTGGTACATTACTAAATGAACCCGCTCGAATAGTATGGCATTAATTAATAATTTTTTATCATATTTAAAAATACTTTAAAAGTTTTTCTTCACTATTCAGGATTTTCTCAGTTCAAAAATTTTAGAAAATTCTAAAAATTGAATAAGCCAAAGAATATCCAAGTAAATGCTAATATATTTTACATCAGAACTGAATTAAAAGTAGTTCAGTAACCTGAACCATGCATTATAAAGTGAATTAAAGTCAGTTTGGGGTGCCCTTGAAATAGCATTGCCGCGCAGTGTGAAAACCTCCTGGTTTTTAAGATTTCAAAGTTGGCAGCTATGAAAAATCATGCCTCATAAAACTGAAAATTCATTGCATGAAATAAAATGAGAAGCATGCTTATTTCAAATGTTCAAAATTGTGTACTGCTTTTGATGAAAAATTATTTGTTTGGTACTGATTCTATGAGTTGAAGAGAAATTACTTTGCATTTTTGCATGTAGAAAGTTGTAAATATTTGTTTTTGTTCAAAACTCAATTTATTAGTCTTAATTTTGTCTGATATGTATAGCCAGTACATAAAATTTGCTTACCCCACAAGATAATTTTCCATGTAAATATTTTAAATTATGAAAATTGTGTAAAACTTGTGTTTCTCAAATTATAAAAAATGTTTTGTACAATGATTTTTACAATAGGTAGTTTTGTGATGTACAATTTTGCATTCTAAACTGCTCAATTTTGTAATGAATCTAAGCTAATATCCAAGATTAACTTTTTACAGTATTAGTTACTGCTTATGCATTTTCCTCATATAATTAATTGAAAGGGGGGACTCTGCAACTTATAAAGCAATAATATTGGCATTAAAGAAATCAGTGTATACACTTTTGGGAAATTTCATTTTTTGGAATGCCATGAAAATTATTGCTTTAAATTATATTTTCATAGCTATTGTAGAATATTTGTCTTATTGTTGTAATGTACACGTAAGTGTAATCTGTAATTTTCTATTGTATTGTGCTTAAAAAGGTGTGTGGTGACTGTGAATCATGAACTCAAAACATCTGCTTAGTATTAAGGAATCAGGCTATTTTTTAAATCTGTCTAATACAATTAACTTTTAATTTATTTTATACGACAGCCACCCTTTTGGTTGATTTGTTGTGTTTGGTAATAGAAATATTTAATATGATTGTTAACTTTACATATAATAACTCCACATTATATCACATATACTAGGATAGGATATTGTATGGGATGAGCAAGCTTTGATCATATGTTGAAAGTTGCACTTTCTGTATCTGCTATTAAAACATTTCAGAGTTTAGTGAATGGTGATTCTAAAATTCCAATTTATTCCATTGCAATAATTAATCATTAATCAATTGTTTTAATATAGACATAATGCCTGTGTTGCAGACCTCTTTCTTAAAATACAGGGTGTTTTGAATGTATCCTCTTTTTTTTTTTTTTTTTTTTTTTTTTTTTTTTTTTTGAGTAAATATATAACTAGAATTGTCTTGCTTTTCTGTAAGATAAATTATCAGTACAGTCTAGGCTTGCTTAACAAATGATAAGCATAATAGTAAATAAATGTAAAATTAACTTTGCTGTTAAAATAAGACATGTTATAAGCTGTTCCCTCCTTACATAATGTATAATCTTTTATGGACATTGTGCATAACAAGCACAAATAAATATTTTGCTTGTATAACTATTACACTATTAATTATGTTCCAATTTCTATTGGGTATGTTTCATTGCTGCAGTCTTGTACATTGTATTTTTAAATTTCTGAATGCCTTTCTACTGGTTTTCATATAGATTTAATCATCCAACATTTTATTGAATTACTTAGAATGCCAGAATATTTTGGTTTTATAGCTTGCTTCAAGTGGTCTTTGCCTTTTTTTTCCATCCTGTCTTTGCTTTACACAAACAGGCAGTCGGCATAAGTTGGAAATTCCTTTCATCAGTGAGCTAATTAATTGCTTTTGTAACACTTTTAATAATGGCTGACTGTGGTAATACTTTGCTTCAGTATAGATTAACAAGGTAAGAATAAAAAAGAATTGTAATGATAAGCTAAATGTGTTGTAACTAGAAGAGGAAAGCTGTTGTAAAAATTTCTAGGGAATTTTCTTCTTTGTAAGGTTTTCAAATATGCTAACTTTTGAAAGCTTTGTTGTGAAAACAGGATATGGTAGTCTTAGAGGTTTGGTCATCATTTTGGTTGTTTGTCCAACAAGGAAAGGCAGCTGTTACAGTCATTAAATAAGTTAATATTCTTATGGCTCTATTTCTCTGTATTTATGAATACAGTTCCAGTTTTTATTCTTCGGGTCATAGATTTTAAGAAGTTTAAATTATTAATCTAAAGAGTTTTCAGCTGTAAAATAAGAAATTCCATATCCACATGAAACAGAGCATTCATGAAACAGAATTTGAAATTATGAATCTGAGAACAAGATTAATAGGAAATTCAAATAATTAGTCATTGGGTGGAATGAAATTTTATCAAATATAAGTGGTAGATATGTTGGAGATTCTCTTAAGAACTTAACACTATTTTTATAAATGTCCAATTAATGAGTTAGATAATTTTCTTTTAAAATCTTATTGTTTCTTTTAAATTCCCTCATTTTAAGAAGCTGAAGAGAAAATATTTAATTAAGTGATATAATGTGGCTCTTAAATTTATATATGCATATTTTTTCTTCATTCATTTTTCATTCATAATTCTTCAAATTAGCATTGTTATACATTTCTGTATTTGATTCCATTCCTGTCATCTGACATTCTGTTTGTAATTTTGGCTCTAAGCCAAATTGTCAAGTTCAGTATTATATTCATGGAAATATTCTCATAGATTTGCAAATTTTGCTTTAAAGTGTATTAAGAGTTCTTAAAAAATGTTAAATATATTCATTGTACTATCTGTGAGAGAATTATGTGTAATAAACATAAATTTGAAGTTCATGAATACATGTTCATTATGATCCCTACATAGTTCTGTATTACTGAGCTTTTATGTAAGCCATTTTTTTAGTCAATGAATGTACAATTTTAATTATTTTGATCAGTTGTGAAGTCAGAATATTTTTGTTGTGTAAATGTCACTTTTTCTTTATTACGTGTTAAAACCATTTCATTACTATCTTGTTAGTTTTTAGTTGAATGTTAGATTTGTGAATAGTTATTATTGAAAAGTATGCAAAGCAGTCACATAAAATTTTGAATGATAATTTTACTGTATGCTCTGAAATGTGTTGGTTTAATACCAATTAACTGAAATCTATTGTTAAATGTAACATATGCAGTTAATATAAATTTTCAAATGCTTTTATATTTTATAACTTTTGACAGTAAAAGTATTTATATTAGAATTCTATGCAATTTTAAAGTGGAAGTAAAGGATAAGGATTTAGTGCAAATGGCTGCCCTATTCAGCATTTAAGACTTTTTTAAAAAAACTAAATTAATATACGAGCCAGTTTTTGTTGCATATGAGAATGTATTAAAAGTCTGATTTTTCCGTTTCTATGTACCCTTTGTTGAAAATAGGACAATATCCCAAGATCTGTCAATGTTTCAGATTCCAGTAACATATGGTTTATGTGGAAGTGCTGGAAATAGCAGCAAGAAATTGCTGTAACTTAAATGCTCAAACATATGCTGAATGCTTAAATAATTTTTTGAGTGTCAAGGTGTCTGCACCTATTTTTGAAAGGAAACTTTGCATAAACTAATTTGTTTTTTAATTTCTTAAAAAAGTTACATTTAAATAAACATTTATGTGATTTGTAATGAATTTTGAATAAATTTCCATTCTCGTGTCATGTGTGGCTGCATAGTAATCTTTGCCAGCAGCATGTAGTACAATTTATTTCTCTCGATGTTGAGCTTAGAAGTTGGCGATATTAGAATGAGAAAAAAATGAGATTTAAACATTATTGTTTGAAGAAAATAAGTCTTATAAACTTAGTTTTCTTAAAACGCTTTTTTAATCAAATATATTTTTAGGGCTGATTTTGACTTTTGGATGTGCTGATAAAAAGAATTATCTTGTCAGTGAGTTAAAGCATTTATCCTTTACTTCAGATAATTCTGGCATAAAATATTTTTAGAAGTAAATTTAATAAGGAAAATTAGTCAGATTTATTTTAAATTTGAGATCTTTGTTTAATGTTAATAGTTGATAAACTTTGATTTCTTGCATTTGCATACTTTTACCAACCCAAGCTTCCACAATCAGTTGTTTTTAGAAAATATAGATTTATAATGTTGTTAATATGTGAAATATGCAATTTTTTTACATAATTATCATTGTGTGGTACCTTTACCTTGTCAAAACTTAATAATTTGTTTGTATGAGTAATATATTTCTTTAGCTGTTATAAGCAAATTGTTAGAATTCTATTCATATTGTAAATTTTGAAGTGACTACCTTTATAGAAATCTGCTTTAAAGTTACTTTGAATACGTTTTATAAAATTTTTCTTCCAGATTTCTTGATTTCTTTCCAGTAATGTATTGTTTCTTGTTACTATTCATTATGAATTAGCTAAATATAATAAAAATTTGAAAACTGTGGAAGTGCACTTGAAGTGCTCTGGTATTACACAAGTTAATTACAATTCCTTTCATCATTAAATAACATATAGTCAAATTGGTCAGCCATTTTTTGATTTATGAAGTGGAATCCAAGATTTGTTGCACTTTGTCTGCCTTTTAAAAGTAGATGGTATCCTCTGAGGTCACATTGAATGCTGATTATATGATGCTAAGTGATGTTAAATAAATGTCTGCCTGAATTAGAAAGTAATTAGCATGGCATCATTTGTTATTTGTTGGTATTATATTAATTCATCTTAATTACAGGCAACCTTTTTTGTTGTTTAACAATATATTAATGCATAATAATAAGCAAAATAAAAATGAAGGGTTTAACTAATCAAAAACATGTTTAGTTAAATGGTAGCCAGCCTGAAGGAAACTGGGAGGAAATAGTTCAGTTCTCTTTGCAAAAAGCACTTCACAGATCTTCAGTATGATCCAAAAAATCCTTAGTAAAAGTGATTAAAACGTTTGATTTATAAAGTTTAACTCTTTGACAACAAATGATATGCATATGTCCCACTAAAAGTTTTAAAAATTCAAAATATAAAAGTCAAAAAGTACTTAGGAACTCACGTATCCCATTTGTAGAATCAAACCAGTTGTGTACGTTTCATCTTTTGTTTTCAGTTAGCATTAAATATTTTCCCACGAATGCCTTTTTTTCCCCTTTTTAATTCGTAGTCAAAGGATTAAGTATGTAGCACTAGAAGGAATTTTCACCCAAATTTTAAAGCATTTTAAGTTTTGTATACATAAAAATGCAATTTCCTGCCTTTTTTTCTTCAAATAGTTAAAATTATAAAATCAGATATTTATTATACAGTAGTGAAATTCACTTAATTTGATCCATGTTTTTCCTTCAGTTAATTAAGTAATATGGTCTGTTAAGGGATACTTTTAAATGCATTTTGTAATTTAAGCAAAATAAAGCAGTTCAGAACTATATTATGCCTCTTTATGAAGAATTAGAGACTTATTAAACTTTTGTTCTGTGTCTTTAGTAAAAATATGATGATAGAATATTACGATAGTAAATTATAATACAATGATAGTAAAATACGATGATAAGATCTTACTAATAGAATAAAGATCTATAAAGGTAGTCATTTTACTGTATTTTTTTTTGGACTTCTTATTTTTAGATTTGTTATTGTTTTATGTGGTAGATATGTTCATTTATTTACCACTGATCTTAGGGCAGCTTTTGTCGATGGTTGTGCCACAAAATTTTTTATTGGCCTCAATCATTTTATTAATAAAGATGTAATTTTGTGAAATATTGTCATTTCTGTTATGGAAGTAAGTATAATAATGGTTTATTTCTGAAATTTGAGAAGAAAATTGTTAAAATTAAATGCTATTAGAAATTTTTATATCATTCATTACTGTCCTGCTTTATAGGAAATCAAATATGTGGTTAACTGTCCAGGATTGATATTTGGCATTTGTATTGCTGAGCTACTAGAATCCATACTGAAAAATGTAACATATAAGCTAATGTTTACAGAAGGAAGCATTTAAAAATATAAATTATTTTATTAAACTAATACCTTCTTGAAAGAATATCATTGCAATATGAAAAAACATATATATTTATCTCCCGTATAAATTGTTTTTAAAAATACGAATATGAGTAGTATAATTTTCAGTAAGTATTTTGGGTTTTATTAGGGAAATAATGGCAATCATGTTTGCATTACTTTTTCAGTGAAATTTAGAATACTTTATATTTAGATGTGTTATAAAAATATTTTAATAGTTGTGATTGTGAAAATTAAATTGTGTGCCAAAAATGTTGACAACTGCTGGCTAGACATGTATTTGTTTATTGTTTTAGGATCTATGTATTGTCTTAGAGCTAAATTAACCAAAGCATGATCATTGATTTTGTTCCATTTGTATACCAGATGTCTTATTTTTTATCTTAATCCAGGTATTTAATATGTTTCGTATCTATATTTTTCCATTAGGATATGGAAAATGTTATTTTTGTTGCATATTTATTGTTTGTTTCAAATATTAGGGGCATTTTATTTCTTATTTGTTATAGTTTATGCATAAATTCTTATTTGTAATAAATTTTATTGCATAATTTAGTTTATTGTTACATTGAAGACTTTTTTTGTTGTTTATTATGTTCAGTTTTCCAACATTTAGTGAGGCGTCAACAAATTACTCCACTTGTTAGAATATTTTTACATAACCTCTGTGTGATGATATGCATTATGTGTACCAAAAAAATGTTAATACTTAAAGCTCTGTGCACAAGTCTGCTTTCCTTTAACTTACAATTATGAAAAACTGTGGTATAAAAAAAATTAAATGTGTGTTGGAAATTGATTTTAGACTGATATGCAAGCATCATAATGTATGTACATTAGTAGGCAAAAATATCTATTTTTATATAAATATTTATATATGTATTTAAGAAAATAGCAAAATTATGTAAGGTTTCAAGACTTGTTGAACTAAATACCTTCAGCACCTTTGAGCAAGATGAAAGTTGTTTCACCGTCCAACATTTGGCATTTGTAATAACTTTTTTTAAGATGTAGATCAGTTTTATATTATTCTTATTAAAGTATTCCTGCAGGAAAAAATGTAAGGAAATTATCTTTATAAAAATATGTGTTGAGAAAGATCCTTTGCAATAATTAAATAACTGATAAAAATATGAAATTTTGTATGTCATCTTATTAACATTGATTTCTAATTATTCCACATATAAAATTTGAGGATCATACATAGAGAAAGTTTCGTTGTGTAAACTTTCATACCTAATGCGATGTATTTTCTTTCTGAAAAAAGATGGCGCTCTAAAAACAGGAAAAAAAATGTGTGGTGAAAATATCAGAATTCAAATGCTAAGACTGTGATTTTAAATTATCAATATTGAATGTACATTTTTGCCACTGACGAACTTGAAGTGAATAGGACATTGTTTTAATGCCATAATTTTATTTATAAATTTTTGTGTCACAGTGTAATATTTGTAACCTTTTGATGGTCATCATTACAAATTTACAACTTAACATGTTGGGAAGAAAGAATTGCTTAATCTAACAACTGCCGAAGTGTTAAGCATTATTTTAAACGGTGACATTGTTTTGGCTAGGATGACTTAAACTGTTTCATTTGTAATATGTTTTCTTAATTTGACTTCTTAGGGGAATGCATTAATTAAAGAAAAAAATTTAAAGCATTTTATAGTTTAGCTCATATTAAATGCAAACATATTTCAAATTGTCTACTTTTTTCCTGTTAAAATAAAATCTGAATTAAGTTTTTATGAAAATTCAAAATATAATATTTTTGAATGAGAAAAGAACTTCATAAATTGGGAAACAAAGTATTGAAAATAACACACAAATAAAAAGGCAAGATTATTGATTGGCATATAAATGTGTAATTACTATGGCTAATCGAAACTAAATCATGAACTCTCTCAAATTTGCCTGTCCGAATGTTGTGCTGATTGTACAAATACTCGTAGATTCTCCCTCCCTAAAATTCTCGGATATGTATTGTCAAAATGCTTATATTTATGTGTTATTTCATGTCACTGTATACTTATGTTTGTATCATATATTTCTGCTTACAGTACAAAGTTTTGTTTTGTCATAGAATTCAAATGGTGAAATTGCTGCCTGTGAGTTTTTAAAATTAACTGAAATTCATTCAGCCAGTCTGAAAATGCAGAAACTTGCTTAAGCCTGTTTGATATCAGATTTCCCCCCTCCCCCAATCATTGCTTTAGATCTCAGAAGTAAAGCAGTTAGTTATTTAGGTTTAAAATAATATTGAAATGAAAAAATTTGTACTTTGAATTGGTTCTAGCTAAAGAATGTTAATTTAATCGACAAAAAATATTAGTTTATCTGTTATATTATTATTTATTTACTGCTTGTTTTAAAACATAGTTTTGAAAATGGTTCTGAATATTTTTGCACCTTGAAGAATTCACGAAAGTAACAGCCTCTGTCAAAATTACAGAATTCAAATATTCAGTAAAGTCAAATTTTAATCTTGTAACCAACTAGTTTTAATCAACAAATTTTAATCTTGAACTTAGATGAATGGAATATTTTTGTTCATCATCGTGTTTCATTTCTTTTTATACTAAACGGTAAAAATATCTAGTTTCTGATTCTGCAAATCTCCTCAAGCTACTTCATAGCTGATATATCGTGCAATTTCTGGAGGGAGGAATTCTAATCTTCTACCAAGTAGTTAAAGTTTGCTATCTGTTATAAATAAGTCTTCTCTTTTGCTTCTGCCTTCTGAATTTCAGTCACTTTGTTAGATTTGTCCTACTTCTTTTTTAATGTGACAGATTTAACCGTCATAATTTTGAAATTTAATGCTCTTTGCATGATGGTACCTAAATTTTGGTTTATTCTGCACCTAATTTAATTTTTCTTCTTGTGAATGTCATCATCGATTTGAAAGTGCTTTTCCACTCATAGTAATTTTACATGCCTAAATACTTACTATAGTCACCTTAAAGAATGTCTGCTGCATTTCAGTCAGCTGCAGTTTTAAAATGGAGTTTTAACTTAATGCTTCTCAATTATTAACTCAATTTCAATTTAGTAATGTATTTTCAAAAAAGGAATCTTATATAATATTTGTAAAAAAAGTAAATATATTTTTTCAATAAGTAATTTTTCATTAATTATATCTTAAAAACCTTTTTTTTAAGTAATTGAAGAAATTCATTTCATCTATTGAGTTTGTCTTTCTTGTATCACAATTTGGCAAAGGCTTTTTCTCTTCAATACAGTACTTTTCCTCTGTCTTGTGAATATATACGACCATGTGGTTTTGACTTTGGGGGGGGGGAATTCTTTTCTGAGCGTTTTTCATGTTTCGAGAGCGCGACTTATGATATATATTAGATTTATATATAGGCATTTTGACACAAAATCGGACGTTTCTGAATTAACATATCGACATTTTTTTCTTTCGATTCTGTAACTCAACTTATGACTAAATATTAAATTTTGTAAAATTTTGTGAAAAGTTTATCTTGGCGGACTTTTTTTTTTACTCTGCCCCAAGACTTGGCGAAATTCGTAATTTATGGAAACCCATTTCCCTTTCATTGTGCACGAGCAGAAAAAAAAGATCCATCCTTAATTCTTTTAAATAGTTTTAACGAAGTGCATAAACCAAATCTGGCATTATAATTGCTCAAAACAAGTATACCAAATTTCAAAACGCGCCAATATGTAAATTTACATGTATCTTGGGAAATTTCATATAAAAAAACTAATTTTTTGCAGATATGCCTTGAAATTCATATGCTTTGAGGTGATGGTAAGAATTTTATAAGTTATAATTAAAAAATGTTTTCAAAAAGTTTATAAAAATTACTAAAGAATGCAAATTTTAAAAAGAAATCAGAAAATATCTGAATTTTATTTGGATTTAACCTAAATTTTGAATTGTGAAAGAAGGAATCAAGTAAGTTTAATAATAAAAAAGATATTATTAAATATGTTTCAAATTCAACTAGCACTGAGGGACTAAAATTTTGAAAGCTAATTTTTTAAAAACTACTCGTGGGATGTTTATTAAGCTTTGAACTTTGGCATAGTTTGAAGCGTGGAAATATGCAAAAAAAAAAAAAAAAAGTGTCCAATTTTTTGTCAAAGTACTTGTGTTTGGACAACACTGTAAATATAATATATATCTTTAGTCATACTTTCGAGACATAAAAAATGGAAGTTAAATTTTTCGTCAATCGGTCCAGTTGATATATATATATAATCGAAATAGAAATTGAAAAGCTAACAAGTAATGTGACCTAAGACCTATTTAGTCTTATATATATATATATATATAATATTGGTGGGGGAGGTGCAAAGTTTGCAGAAGAATGGTTAATGATATTAAATTGCTTTTCCTATAATTGAATATGGTACTGGCAGTAAACCATTGCATTTTCTTTCTTTTTTTGTAAGTTTTATATTAGTTTGTTTTTATGGGATGTTTTAAAGCAAGTCTGTATTATAATTATATTGAATATAACTTATAAAGTAAGGTGGTCTTAAAGAAGTTTTCTTTGTTTTTGAGAAAAACTGCAGAATTTTTTAATAAATTATCATACAAAATTTCATAATTTTACTCTGAAAAATATTTTGCATTGTTTCATAATGCCTGTTGTACCTAAACCATTTGAAAATATTATCGATTATGAATCATTTTTAAATTTGATACTACCTGCATTTTGAGGTGTAAAGTCTGTTAGACATCCTGATATTTTAAAAGCAATGAAATTTATGTTTAAAAAAATTTTTTTTATCGTTTTAATTAAAAATATGTGAGATGGCATTTGTGCACAGATGCTTTAAGTGTTTGGTCTAGAGAAACATATCAAAGAGGAGTAAACATATCGATAGTGGTTGCAAATGAAAGATGAACAAAGTGTAGTAACTTTGAATAGATTTTTCACTACCTTGTCACTGTATTTTAATATGCGACTATGTTTCAATAAAAGATTATTATACACATCTTTCTGGCGTTTTATTTTTTAAGACTGACGGTTTAATGTCTTTCGCACGATATATTTATAAACTTCGAACTATTCAAGGACAGTAATATATTCAGTTTTCATGAAAATATAGGAGTAATATACAAGGCAAAATTATACATTTAAAGGGACATGTGACAAATCGATTGACGAAATGCAACTATTTTGGTACAAATGTTAATACGGTATAACTTTTTTCAAATAAGCGTATACTCTAAGTTCTGTTTTTCATTTAAAATAGCTTGTAGATTATATAAACACATAAAATGTAAATTTAAAGCTTAATGTTTTTAAAAACCAGTTGTTTAATTTCTCTTACCTTTGACGAATCTTTTGTGACAGTGTGCTGGTTTGGTACACTTTTCTTAAAAAATACTGCACAAACTCCTTCAAATTGGCATGATGGTTAAAAAAACATATCATTAAGAATAATAAGCAATATTTCATTTATTAAAAAGAAAAAAATTTAAAAAATAAATTAGTAAAATCTTGAAAATCATAGAAAAAATGGTATAAATTTTAATATATCCGAAACTAATGTCATAAATTTTATATGCGTAGTTTGAAGAAATAGCTAAGATAAAACAACTGAAAATAGTTACCTTACTGTTATAATATACCTTCTAGACTGATAGTTTTTAGAAAGTGTACCGAAAGTTTAAAAAAAAAATCTGAAATGTTTCAGATTTTAAATTACGTCCAAAGGGGGTTTTTTAACATTGTGTTGTTACCTTTTTTATTAAATATCATGTTCCTCGACTTAAACCATAAGATCCAGTGCAACAGCAATATCGCAAAAAGTTTTAAAACGAGCATATCTTAGAATTCCGATACAGAGACTTCACGCGCTGGAGATAAAAATGTTTTTTCTGAAAACGTTGCCATTGCTCGCTTTGAAATCCTGAGTTTGTTAATCAAAAAATTCGTCAAAGTTTTAAAAAATAGGAAACGATCATAAAACAAATTTCAAATTTGGTCTTCCACATGCTCATATTCGTTGGAGGATTACGTTATTCAAAATCGATGACTCTATGTACCGTTGTTTTATCACAATACGAGAAATATGCATACACTTATGCAGATTTTTCATTATTTAATCTCTTCAAATATAATGCAGGACTAACATTTGTGGGCAACAGTTTGAAAAGTGAACCGACATTTATGAGTCCGACGCAAAAATGCCAAAACGAAAATAATAGTCCTCGGGATTCAAATCCCTTTGACTAAAAAAAAAAAAAAAAAAAACCACGTTTGAGAAAAACTGAAAAAAAACAATTTAAACACTAATAATTTATAAAAAAAAAAAATCATTTTAACATTTTCCTGCACCATAATTATCTTGAACTGGCATTTCTGAATCTAGTTGTTTTTGTTTTATTAACTTATGTTTCTTTCTGGCCATTTTAGAAAGCTTTTGGTTACGCGTATGGGCCTCACGTATTCTATCGCAATCTATTTTCGCAAAAACTACCGTATAAAACCCTGGTTATATATTCCCATTAATTCGATTAGTTATTGCGACTTTGTACACCATCATTAAAACATATTACCGCATCTAATAAACTTAATTTTAATGTGATGACACTCGGAAAAACAGTTTTGAGTATGCGTGTTCAGATGCATTCTGGACAATTATTAAAATTTTCATTTGGGTTTTTGAGATGATGTCTGACGTATGAAAGAGCAAGGAGCACATGTCTTTGGTAACAGCCTCGAGCACATTACAGGTGACAGTGCGATTTAGCTCAGTTCCGCTCCGAATTTTGATGGAGAGCATAACCACGGGAGACGGGTCCCACCCTTCTTCCCCTACCATCCACCTCTCGAGAGGACTTTCGGCTCGCCGCATATTTTGGGTGCTTACACGCCGCACGGACACTATACATTTACAAACATCAATGTCTTCTCAGAGATTCGAACCCGGGTCCTTCGGCACAGCAGTCAGCGTCGCTAACCACTATACCGGTTGAGCAATGGGTTTTGACTTCTTCCATGAATGCAATTTGACGGTAGTTTTTTGTCAGAGAACTTCTTCTCAGCTAATAAAACAGGTTCTTAGAAAGAATATTTCTGACCATACTTTTTTACCAGCTGATACGGCTTTATTGTTGCCATACCAGACATCTGTCCCTTCTCTACTGGTGGGCTTGCTAGTGCATGTTTACATTTTTTAATGAAAGATTTCGGACTTGAAATTTCTAAACATGGATAAATTATATATTTTGGAATCGTCTCAGGGTACTTTATTTTTTAGTCCAAAATTGAAAATTTGAATACTTGAAAATTTTTATGTCATATGTTCCCTTAAAGAAGATATCCAGTTGATGACATAACAAAACTCATTTATTATTGTCACCTCCTGGCAGTGAGCTTGCAGATTTTGTTTTAAGCAGCAGCTATTAACTCCTTAATCTTAAAGAATCTCAATAGGTCAGAATATTTTTTTCTGGGAATTCAAAAAAAAGTTCTTTATTAACTCCTGTAAAATTTTAGTGTTACCAATGTGCAAGCTTTATTTCAGGAGGAGACTTAAGAAATTAATCTGCAATTTCACGTACCTTAAAATCTGCTCTGCATTATGAATATTATCTTCCATTCGGTTGTGGTAAACACGAATATTAGATTAATTCATATTCCATACTTTTCAGTAATATTCTTTAAGGACTACCACCGACCGAACGTAAAATTTCAAATCCCGGCGAACGCATGCTGCATGGGAGTTTTCATGTTTACACCCATGTGTAACGTGAATAATACACATCAGTTTCACCAGACTTCCAGGCATACATCCTTCTTACGCAAAAGGTGGTTTTCTCCATGTGTATACGAACCACTTTCCCTAAGAAAGTTCACCACGAAGACATCCTTTCTTTTGCGCAAGTAGTCCTTGAGTGCTTTGCCATAAAAAAATAAACCAAACCAATCTTATGCAAATCGTGTGTTTAGCTGTGACTATGGAAATGCCCGTGCAGCCAACCCGTCTGCCTGGATTGGTACTCGGATCGAAGAACCAGGCTTGGCCGCTTGTGAGCCTGAGTTATTTAATAGAATTTAATAAAAAAAAACCTTGCTGATACTAATTCTTATTAGCCCAAAGGGACATTTTCCCCAGAATAGCTATTAATTTCGTTTTCGAATTTTGCGTTGGTTCACTATAAACGGCGTTTCACTTTTCAAACTGTTGCCACCAAATATTCGAGACCTGCATTATATTTAAAGAAATTAAATAATGAAGAATGTGCATTAATGTATGTATGTTTCTCACACTGTGAAAAAACAACGGTACCTAGAGACATCAAATTCTGAATAACGTAATCCTCCACCGAATATGGGCATCTGGAAGCCCTAATTTGGAATTTGTTTTATTATCTATTGCATATTTTGTAAAATTTTAACGAATTTTTGATTAACAAACTCAACGACTGGAAAGCGAGCAACGACAACAATGTACGGGGGAAAAAAAAAAAAAACGTTCTTGTCTCCAGCGCGCGAGACTGTGTATCGGAAATTCTTGATTTGTATTTGTGTCACCTGATATATTACTGCAAACTCCGTTTCATTTTTGTTAGGTTTTGTTTGTAAGCTTGCAGGAGGTTCAAAATAAATTTTCTTAGATTTGTAAATCTGCGTTATGGTTTACCTGTTTATTGTTTTCCATGATAATTCGCTGAAAATATTAAAAAAGGAATCTGACGTTACGTTAGAACATTTGGATTTTTTTATAAAATATATATAGGATGTACCTGGTGTTTTTAGAACGTCTTTATTCATTAAATACATTTTTAGTAAAGGATGTTGCTTGGAGATGCTGTGCGCACGTTAATTCGAAATATCTTTTCCCTTCCAAGAGTTTCTTCTCTCCAGAATTACAATTCGCCATATTATGTTTACGGAAATCAAAAATTTGATTCCAGTGAATAAATCCGAAATGTTTCGTGAATTTTAGGAAATTTATCATTTGGATTTGTTCATATTTTCCAGTTCTTGTAACATTGCAGAGTCAAATGTCCCACAAATATATTTTCCTGGACTGTTTGGATCCTGTGATACCCAAAAGTCATACACCAGCTCACGAAATCGATCCGATGTCATAGCGTTTCCGTTTGCTCGGTCTTCGTCCTGCAAGAAAAGAAACAGAAATATGCTCTGCAAAAATATGCGATTAAAAAATCATTCCACCTCAACATGCAAATAACTCTGAACCTGACATAAAAAGGTCTCTTGTGTACACCACATGACTTCATTGCACGAAATATTCAATTATACGCATTTTTCCTGCTTTTCATTTAAACTTATTGAACTGAATTAAATCTACTTCGTCGATAGCGCGTAAATCACAATAGAATAAATGCACACTTTAAAATTCACTATATTTATTTACTATAGCGACACTCTGGCGCTAGATTCACTTAACTCCGTTACATTTCATTCATTCTATAACTCAGAATGCGCAAATATTATATCATCTGAAGAATTATCTAATGGTTGCCAAATGTTCTATTCAAATTCTGTAATAAATCTAAAACGATGACAAATCTAAAAAAGAAATTAGACAAATGAAAAAGAAACAGTTGCTGTTGCGAAGCTTAGTTTTTTTATATTGGCAAGAAGTCTGCTATTCTGCTAAGTTTCAAATGCAAACAAATATAGCTGTAATGGTTAAAAAAATTAGGCTTAGCCGCACTTAGACAACTTTTAAATTGTTGATAATTCTACAAATATTGCGTGCAGGTTAATTAAAAGCATAAAAACCTTAACCGGAAGATCAGAACAACATAATTCAATCATTTTTAATGCAAAAACGCACAACTTACCAACATATAACAATAAAAAACTGATCTCACGGAGACCAGTAACAGAATGGGTATTTGTATATATGAAATGTAATTTCTCATACATTATTTGTTTTGTGCAGCCGGGGCAACAGGAATGAGACAAATTTTGGAATATAAAGTGGTAGGTTTATTTTAGCATCCATCTCACAAGCGTTCTCCTCGTACCTTGAGCAGAAGCCCTACTTATACATATGTGTACGTCACGAAGCTCCTCCAATCAGCGATATTAATTGAAATCACGAGGTGACGCTATCTTCTCATCAGGAGTGTTCTTAAGTACTTTATGTAATATGACAGATTTATGAGTTTGGCGATTTGGCGGGCGCCAACAGGTTAATATATTTTATACTAAAGAAAGGATTTCGCCAAAATTTTAGGAACAGGGATGCAATTTAGGTAGAGAATCGCCAACACATTATTAAGCAATATTAATAGAATTAATTTAATCAATTGATTTAAAAATATCATTACATATATATATATATACAAACAGTAACAGAGTGGGTATATATATATATATAATTTTTCAATTTAATATATATATATATATATATATATATATATTAATTGAAAAAGAAAATGTAAAGCGAACTGGTAGTTAGACGAAAGACCTATCTGGTCTCAAAAACTTTTGCGCATAATGCTGCAAAAAGATTTGAAAGAATAGTAGTAAGTAGGAACATTGCAGCAACCTTGCTAAAAAGTTACCAGGAGCTGGAGCAAGAACTGGAAAACTGGAAAAACTGTATAAGCGTGATAAAATTGCCAAATTTTAGTGCTGGAAGACTTGCTATTGCACGAAAAAAATTAATTAATCTGACCGTTGTGTAATGTGAAAAGTTAACTCACATGAAAAAAAGATGGACGGAAAAAAATATAATATAAATCAGGAAAGTTACAAAAACATGGATTATAAATGTCAATTATAAAATGCCTATACATAAAAAATTAAAATTAAAATTGCCAATATATAATATCCAATACATAAAATTAAAATCAAAATTAAAAAAAATAATAAAAAGACACAAAAAAGCATCAAAAAACTAGCTACAAAAAACAATAATTAAATAGGGGCAAAAATGGTATATTAGCCCACTCGCACTCTCAGTTGGCTTTTCAAGGGAAAAAAACTGATCTACGAAATAGGCTAAAAATACCATTACGCGTTTCTCCGAAACAGACCATTGAAGCTCTTGTTTAATGCGAAAAAAACTTTTATACCAAAAGTATATTAGTATCTGAAAAAATTCTTTTGGAATAAATCCTTTTTAGTAGCTCCACTGCTGTCTCTTTTTCCGACGCGTCCGCTGAAAAACACATTAAGCTGTTGTCAAGGCTATTATGATTCCGAGCGATGTTAAAATAAAAATCAAAATCAAAGTAGAAAAAAAATAATAAAATAAAAATAATAAATTAAATATATATATATTAGTAAAAGTAAATTAATATAGTAGTAAAAAAGTAAAATATATATATATATATATATATATTAATGTACTTTTGGTGCGGCACATTGCCACCAAAAAGGAAAGTGCACAATCACATCCTATAGGTGCCATATATACAAAATTTCCGCTTTCTGAGACTACTCGTTTTTGAGTTATACAAGATATATACGTACATACGCAGGTACGTACGTACAGACACCACGGAAAAATCTCTCCTGAATCCATTTTAAATCAGTTTTATAATTTTCTTGGGGAAAAAGAGCCATTTATTCTGTCCATACGTACAGATGTTAGGCAAAAATATGGTTAAATTGCGTTCGATAGCGGTCAAAATGGATATTTTCTTTAAAATATAGTATCTGGAATTTTCGTGATTAAAATACTTCCTTTAGTTCGTACAAAGAAGTAAAAAAGAAAAAAAAATCTGATGTGTACACCACATGACTTCCTTGTACGGAATATTAAATTATACACAATTTTTTCTTGCATTTCATTTAAACTTATTGGATTGAATTAAATCTACCTTGTCGATAGCGCATAAATCACAATAGAATATATGCACTCTTTAAAATTCACTACATTTGTTTACTATAGCGACACTCTGGCGCTAGATTGTCTTAACAGTATTATATTTCGTTCATATTATACTCATAATGCACAAAATTTATATCATTTAAAGAATAGAATTATCTAATCGTTGCATTCGATAGCGGTCAAAATGGATATTTTCGTTAAAATATGGTGCCTGAAACTTTTCGCGATTACAATACTTCCTTTTTACTTCGTACAAAGAGTAAAAAGGGCACAGTCTAGCGCACAGAAAACATGCATCCCAAAGTATATACAGGATGTCCCAGCAATAAAGTTGTTAAACGCCAAGACAGTTGCTAAAAATTACTAAACGCCAGGAAACGCTGGCGACATTTCGGCCCTGTCCTTGCGTAACTGAATATTTTAAATGGATAACTGTACTTGATCCCTATAGTATATGTAACTGCAACCATATTCGGCCCTCATATGTCTTCCAGTAATTTCGAAAAGGTACTAGAGATTTTGGGGCGGCTACAGGGAAAACTATATAACACCGGAGAGAGCATCGGAGCTTCCCCTTTTAGATACGCTTTGCATTGTGTTGTGTTTAACTTTCTTTGTAGTTTGAATTGTAACTACTGATTGTGCTCTGTGATACTGAGAAAAGCTGTACGAGTGCTATTGTGGAAAGCTCCAGAACTGTAAACTGTTTCTTTAGGAAAAATAAATTTTATAGAATCGGTTCTGTATGCTTTCAATCCATTTCGTACCCAAGCACACGCAGTATTACTCTCTAGTGCTAGCAAAAAATCTTGATTATTCATTATTGAATAATCAAGAACATTATTATGGCCCTCTCCAGTGGCCTTGGCGATCGTGCTGCCCCATCCAATGATAAGAAAGAAAACTTATTTCAAGAAGGTTAAACGATTTTCCTTTTCAGCGGCAAAACTAAACGTGATACTGAAGTGAATGTCAAAGAAATGTTCATTATAACAGGTTATTAGTAATGAAGTGATCCTGAAGCAACAGTAGAACAGTTTTATTCTGATATGGAAAATAAATCATCTTTAAATGTTTAGATATTATTATAAATAAGCCAGTTTCAGTTTCGTTTGCTAGGAATAATAACTATTGACAGGTAAGAATTTTAAGCCATATAGATATTTCTGAATGAAAGCTAACTATTCTACAGGGTCGTTATTTTATTCCAGCTATACAGGTATTTCAGAATAACTGCATATATAAACCTTTTGAATGGCTGGTTGTAGGCCATTTAGTTAAAAAAAAATTAATTAAAAAAGATAGGTTTTTTTTAGGCCGTGACAATACGTCACATGATACCTTTTAATAAAATTATACTAAATTTAAACATTTATACGTCATCCCTACAAAAGTGTCAAAGAAAAATGTACTTTCCGTAGCTGAATTAAGCAAAAAATAATCGTCATACAATTAAAATTAGTCGAGATATCTTCAATAAAAATTTTCCGATTATATATCAAAATATTCTAAGCACATTAAATTTATAAATAGTTATTTTGCTGTTTTAAGAATTGCAGAATTTCTGATAAACAGTTTCGCTTGCTGTAGATAAAAATATTTTATTCCACTGCTTGCTTTGAAATCGTTTTTTAATCAAAAATTTGTTACTTTTACAAAATATGAAATAGACAATAAAACAAATTCCAAATCCGGGCTTCCGAGCGCCCATATTCGGGTGAAGGCCTACATCATTCAAAATTTGATGGCTGTAGGTACCGTTGTTTTTTCACACTGCGAGAAACATACATGCATTCATGCAGATTCTTCACTATTTAATTTCTTTAAATATAACACAGGAGGATAATATTTGGTGGCAACAATTTGAAAAGTGATACAACGCCTTTCAGTGATTCGAAGCAAAATGCTGTTTCGAGACTAAATAGCCCTTTAAAAAAAGATATTTCTAGCATTATAAACACGTTAATAGAAAACTACTCCTAAATTACCATTTATAAAAGCGTTAAATCCTGAAATTTTACATTTAATGAAATTCGATTTTTATATTAAGTAAAGTTGATTAGTTCTGCGGGTAAATGTAAGTGATTTTAGTCGCGATTTAGTTAATTTTGTATAATGTGTTCGCCACGGTCTGCAATGCTTTTAGTAGGTGAAGAAATAATCTTCTGATCGTTATGTTCTTCACAGAGGGCCCACATGTAATTTAAATTTCTTTTTAGCCCAAATGGGCGTTTGCCACCAAATACGAGTATTATCGTCTTGTATTATATTTAAAGAAACTAAATAATGAAGAATCTACATGAATGTATGTACGTTTCTCGCATTGTGGAAAAACAACGGTATCTAGAGTCATCGAATTTTGAATAACGTAATCCTCCTGCGAATATGGGCACCTGAAAGGCCGTATTTGGAATTTGTTTTATCGCCTATTTCATATTTTTGTAAAACTTTAACGAATTTTTGATTAAAACTCTCAAAAATTTCAAATCGAGCAATGGCAACACTGTAGGGGAAAACATTTTTATCTCTAGCGCGGAATGTCTTTATCGGAATTCTAACGATATACTGCTTTTAAGTAATTTTAGCATAATGTGGCGTTAGCCCAAATGCTCTCGTATGTAAATGAAAAAAAAAAAAAAAACCGTCCGTTTAGTCGCATTTATAAAACCTTTTGGACTTTTTTTTAAATATTTTATTTTTATTAATTAGCCACGTAATCAAAATCATGTCCAATAAACTTAAAAGCTTAAGTTATTAGATGTACAGTGTCTCACAAAAGTGATGGGACACTTGTGCTTTACAAAAGGAAACTGCAATAAAATAAATTTGAAAAACATGTAAAATTTTTTGTGGGTATGTTTCATACTTAAATTTAGTAACAATTATTACATAACATACATTTTCTCAAAATATTAAAATATTAATTTAATAAAAATACAATTGTTTAGAACGGAGCAAAAAATGGCTCACATAAGTCACTTTTCCATCAAATATTTATCCAAAAAATTTACTTTTTAAAAGGTTTTAATATTTTGTTGGATTTCCTTTTTATACCAGTTCATGTTTTACTTTTAAAACATGATTTAATCTTCTTGGGATGGATTCGACTAATTTTTTGTGATTTCTGGAGTGATTTTACCCCCATTCTTCTTGAAGCACCGATTTTAATTGTTGTTTTGAAGAAATAGTGTGTTCGCGAATTCTTGATTCCAATTCTTGCCAAATATTCTCTATGGGATTTAAGTCTGGAGATTGTGGTGGTGTTTTTTATTATTTCAGGACAGTTATACAGCAGCCAGAGTCTAACGTTCAAAGCAGTGTGCTTGGGGTCATTGTCCTGGTAGAATTTAAAATCGTTATGAAGTTTCAATTTTCGTGCTGAAGATTTCAAATTTTGATTTAAAATGTCAATATGCTTGTACTGATCCATTATACTGTCAATAAAAACAAAATTACCAACTACAGCGGACGACATACACCCCCATACCTTAACTCCTCCTCCACCATGTTTTACTGTTGGCACCAAGTTCTGTTTGCGAAATTCTTCCTGGGTTTTCTCCACACCAAGATTCTACCGTCAGAACCAAATATATTAAATTTACTCTCATCAGCAAATATAACTTCATTCCAGTAATCAGAATTCTTATTTATGTTGGATTTTGCGAAAGCCAGTCTGAGTTTTCTATTCTTTTTTTCCTGGCTGCTCTACCGTCATATCCAGCAGATCGAATTACTCTTCTAATAGTCTCAGAATTAACAATTACTCCATATAATGCTTGTAAATCAGCAGCAACTTTAGGAGCACTCATTCTTGGATTTTTTTTAATATTTCGAACGATAATTCGCTTTATTCCATTGGATAGCTTTGATGGTCTGCCAGGTCTTCTTTTATCCTGAATCATATGATTCTTTTTATATCGTTTAATGATATTGAAAACTGTTGAATGACTCAAGTTAACTGTTTCAGCAGTTTCTCTAATAGATTTTCCACGTTCAATATGCAAATTAATAACTAATTTTCGAATTTCAGGCAAAGTTTCTTTTCGTTTAGCATTCATGGCTGCACAGAGCTAAAAAAACACAAAAAATTCCAAAACAAACTGGAGAGAAATACTGCAGACGATTTTATAAATTATTGCCAATTGCTTTTGAGTAAAAATAAAAAACCCCAAAAATATTTTTATTGTAGTACGTAGTAGTATCTAATGGTGTCCCATCACTTATGTGAGCCATTTTTTGCTCCGTTCTAAACAATTGTATTTTTATTAAATTAATATTTTAATATTTTGAGAAAATGTATGTTATGTAATAATTGTTACTAAATTTAAGTATGAAACACACCCACAAAAATGTTTACATGTTTTTTTAATTTATTTTATTACAGTTTCCTTTTGTAAAGCACAAGTGTCCCATCACTTTTGTGAGACACTGTATATTTTTTAAATTGCTGTCAGGGGCCTATCAATAAATTTCTCATCAAATATTCATTCGTGAAATGCTCAAATATATATTCATTTAGCTAGAACAAGAGCAATAAAAATTGTTTACTTCTCTATTTTTAGTAAGCCAAACAAAAGAGAAGAAAAGTAACTCACATTCAACATGGTTTCAAAACATTCTTTTGCTCGAGTGGCATCCATATCATGGCTGGTAAGGTATTTTTTGTAGTCTTTTACACAGAATAAGCCGTCCTCTGAAAATTATAAACATCTCATATTAATAATATATAAAAATTCATCAATATGAATTACTTAGATTATCAACTATTGACTTGTAGCAGAAGTATCAAGTATGAGAATGAAGCAATTTATATATCCTATTAACAGAACAAAATTTTATTAACAATTATAATTTCCTAAGAATACTTGCATTTGAAATGCGTGGATTTTCATAAATTAAGGTTCAAATTAGAAAAACTGTAGTAAATAAAAACACGAACGGTTTTGATCACATTTGTGTGAAGCTATAAATAACTTGAAAAAAAAAAAAAAATCTGAATGTTTCAGATTTTAAATTACGTCCAAAGGGGCGTTTTTTAACATTTTGTGTGTTACCTTTCTTTATTAAATATCATGTTCCTCGCACTTAAACCATAAGATCCAGTGCAACAGCAATATCGCAAAATAGTTTTAAAACGAGCATATCTTTAGAATTTCCGATACAGAGACTCACGCGCTGGAGATAAAAATGTTTTTTCTGCACAACGTTGCCATTGCTCGCTTTGAAATCCTTGAGTTTGTTAATCAAAAATTCGTCAAAGTTTTAAAAAATAGGAAATCGATCATAAAACAAATTTCAAATTTCAAATTTGGTCTTCCACATGCTCATATTCGTTGGAGGATTACGTTATTCAAAATTCGATGACTCTATGTACCGTTGTTTTATCACAATACGAGAAACATACATACATTTACGCAGATTTTTCATTATTTAATTTCTTCAAATATAATGCAGGACTCTAACATTTTGTGGCAACAGTTTGAAAAGTGAACCGACATTTATGAGTTTAACGCAAAATGCCAAAACGAAACTAATAGTCCTTCGGGATTCAAATCCCTTTGGACTAAAAAGAAGTTAAATCGGCCAGTCTCTTGCTGCCGCTTATAGCGAAGCACACGAGAGAGGGAGAAAATTGCCTTCACAAAGGACTTTCTAAATGAAACTGCCGCATGTGTATTCACGTTACACATGGAGAAAAATAGAGAAAATCGCGAAAATACCCCTGCAACCAGCCCGCCCCTGGAATCCGAACCCGCCAGCTAAAGTTTATTAATAGATTTCATTTCGTTTCCACGTAGTAATTACATTAATCCCTTTTAATTTCATTGATATATCAACCAAGTAATCATCATCAATCAACATAACATTTCATTTCAGTTATAATCTGTCATGATAATTTTAGGAGCATAAGGGATTTTCCAAACATACCATTTTGAGCTGTCATTTGTAGCCATCTTCGAGTGTCACTGCACAAAACAATGGTTAACTAATACATGCAAAAGTACCAAAATGTTTCAGCTATTATAAGTACCGCTTGGGGTCAGGATTGTAAATAGAAACTTGAGAGTCCTCTTCATTGTTCCTCCCAACTTGATCACCTTTTTTTTTTTTTTTTCTTTTCCTAGTTATGGTTGATTAATGCACTCGCAAGAATTCGAACGCTGGACCTCTCGACTGCTACTCGGACGTGCATTTACAGCACAAAGGCACACGGTGAGGAGGGGGGGAATGCCATATGATGGAATGATAAATTTTTGATTAAATGTCTCGTATCAAGTATGAGAATGAAGATATGGGCTACTATATGTTACCTTTCATTCCGGTTTAATCCGTTAAATAGAAAAGAATATAACATTCGTAATCATTTGATGTCCTAACAAGCGTAATATATGAAACACATGCAATATAGTCACGCTAAAATATTTACTGGCAAATTATTCAATATACCGTAATTTCCGGAAGAAAGGCCGCATCAGCGTAAACGCCGCACTCGAGAAAAATGGCGGGAAAAAAAATTAAAATTACACAGAAACGCCGCATCAACGTAAACGCCGCAATAGATTAAATTGCGCGTGACACCGTCGTGGGCCGTATAGATGCAAAAACTCAACATAAGTCCTGATATATGACATACCAGTTAAGAAAAGGGCATGAAATGAAACCATAACTCAAAAATAAATTAAAGGTAAGAAATGATAGCTTCTGTGCCGTTTAGAGACATTTTCCGCTCCCTAATTAAAAATTATCCAACAAGTACTTGTACCCTAACTGATGGGATCTGTATTTGGAATGCCAAGAAAAATCCATTCATGCTGAAGGAGAAATACGTCAGAGTTCGTTATTGCGAGGCAGGTGGAGTCGTGTCCGCCTTTGAAAAAAATTGCAGAAAAGGCAGGGGTGGAAAGAGGATGGGTCCTGGAAGATTCATCGAATGGCAGAGGAGAGAGACTATTCAAACTGATGAGAATGTTGATTTGAAAGGGGGAAGAATGTTATTGTTCTGAGATCTCGTTTAGGGTGAATAAGGCATGTAGGTCCGTTCAAGGGAAAGAACGTAAACAAAATAACGTTCGCAAAAAACAACTGAGTGGTCTTCTGTGTGGGAACAGCACCAATCTATGCACAATGACAAGGCCATCCAAACTATGTACAATGACCATCATAGGAAATATTTTATTTTTAGTGCACCTAAACGCCGCACCCGCTGAAAATTTAAGTTTTAAACACGTAAACGCCGCGGCGTTTCTTCCGGAAATTACGGTACTTTATTTTTACACTTGGATTACGAAAATCCCAGTTTCCTTCCTGCAAAGGAAGCAAGCTTATGAAGTATTATATATGAGGATGTATTTTTTAGGCTCGATTATTTTCAGTTGAGAGGAAGGCTAAGCCGATGAGCTTTTCCTGTTTCATACTGCTTCTCAAATATTATTTTTTCATTTCTTTTTTTTTCCTCGAAGCGGGCTATTAATAAAGAAATGGGATTTTGTCATTTTATTATAAACAGCATATCACGTTTCAAATTCTTGCCACCAAATATCTGGTTGTAACGAAAGTTTTCCGCCAAAAATCGTTCTTAATAATGTTTGGGAAAAAAAAAAAAAAACCATGAAAGCAGTACCTTTGCGTGGATAGTAATTATCGCTCAAATCTATGATTTTCTGCCAACGTTTTGGTAGTTTTTCAAAGCTTTCGGCCCAGAAACTTCGTGGCTGCGAGACCAAAAAACAAATCAACAACATTTCGGAAGCCTAGTGCTGATTGGAAGATAGCACCAGCAAGATGTAGCTAGAGGTGTGAAAAAATGTAGAAGACCGAAGGAGCGATGTCGGGACTATATGGTGAGTGTGGCAAAAGATCCCATTCAAGTTCGTACAGAGTCCACCCGGGGAATGCAAACACACGTGGTCTTCCATTATCTTTTTGCACCGGAAATCAGTTCGACGTTTTTCCTTGATAGCAACGTCAACACGGACTAGCATCTGGTACAACTTATTATCGAGGAGTTTACCTTTTTACAGATACTCTTTGTGGGTAATACCACGACAATCCCACCAGGTACAAAGCAAGATCTTTTTGTTGGTCAAATGGCGCTTTGCGACACTGCCAAAAACTCACCGGACGCACACTAATTCCATTTTTCGGCCTGTGTTGTTGAAGTTAATCCACTTCTCGTCACAAGTGACGATCTGGTCCAGAATTTTGTCCTTGCTTTGATATTCGCGCAGATTAATGCAGGGCCATACACGTCTGTCCTTATCTGCTTGCGTCACCTCATACTTCACCCGGCAATTGAACTTGTACGTCAAGTTTATGCGAAGCACATCGCGACTAATGGACATGGCACTAACATCTAACTCAGGGCTTAATTTCTAAGATTAGAAGTGCCGGAGAGCTATAGAAGACCGTCAGTAAAGAGGAACAGAAGTAAATAAATAAAATGACTATTAGACTCATTAATAATTTTTAAATTAAATAGTTAATTATTCTCAAATTAATTAATAGCTATTTAATTAATGTTCATAATTGTTATTTAATCAATAATTATTATATAATTAATTAGTAAATAAATAAATAAAATGGCTCTATTAAACTCATTAATAATTTTTAAAGTTAAATAGTTAATTATTCTCAAATTAGTTAATAGCTATTTAATTAATGTTCATAAATTGTTATTTAATCAATAATTATTATATAATTAATTAGTAAATAAATAAATAAAATGGCTCTATTAAACTCATTAATAATTTAAAAATTAAATAATTAATTATTATCAAATTAATTAATAGATATTTAATTAATGTTCATAAATTATTATTTAATCAATAATTATTATATAATTAATTAGTTAAAATTTAATTGGTAATTATTAGATAATTAATTTTATTTATTGAAATAATTAAAGATTGAAGTAATTAAATAATTAAAATTAAATAAAATGTAAAGAGATAAACTGAAATTTAATAAGCGATTTTTAATATAATTTTTATTGTTAAAATAAAATTTTTGAGATTGTTATTCAGTTACGTAAAAGAAGTGCCGCAGCCTACTTATTCAGGGCTCCGGCTAGAATTATGATTTATTACAAAAACTAAGAAGCACCGCTGCCAAGATCCGGTGGGCTCCGGCCCAATTTAAGCTCTGATTGTATGGGAAGGAGAGTTCTTTTATCATCACAAAAATTAAATATACTTAAAGTATAGCTGATGAAAACTCCAGGGCGAAACAGAATGGGGGTATGAGTGGGTGGAAACAAAAAATGAGGGGAATCTTGGTGAGAGAGAACGTTCTCTTTGACCGCGGCTCTCTGCTGATATAATTATAGCCATCAAGCAGATGTGCGTCAGGGGTAAAATGAGTCCTGAATCTGACTCCTAAGGATGAATGTAAAGTTGCTGGTTACGCTTTCCCCCCATTAGTGGATACTGTGGAAAGGCTATGTATAGGTCGTGCTTGAGCAGTTAGTTTATCTCAATATTTCACTCTTATTGTACTCGCTGTCACTTAACGCACATTTAAAAACACAAATTTTGCTTCCTACGAGGATAACTAACTGTAAGCATCGATAACAATACACTAGATACGATGGCATGGCGAGAAATTTCCTAAACAAACTCCCCCAAATTTATTGCCCTTCTTAAAGAGAAAGGTTTCTGCATGTGTGTGAGGAAACCTTACTTGAACGTCTCATGT